CCGCGGAGTAACTAAGCCCATGCACCACAACTACTGAGCCTGCACTCTAGAGCCCGCGAGCCACAACTACTGAGCCCACGCACCACAACTACTGAAGCCCGCGTGCCTAGAGCCCGTGCTCCGCAACAAGAGAAGCCACCACAATGAGAAGCCCGTGCACTGCAACGAAGAGTAGCCCCCGCTAGCCGCAACTAGAGAAAGCCCGCACGCAGCAATGAAGACCCAATGCAGCCAAAATAAATAGATAAATAAATTTATAATAAATAAATAAATAAATGAGTGACAGAATGGCAAAAAATACCAAGTATTGGTGAGAACGTCAAGCAACCAGAATCTCATACATTGCTTGTGGGAGTGTAGATTGGTACTACCACTTTGGAAAACTGGCATTTTCTACTGAAGAGGGACATATGCATAACTTATGATCCAGCAATTCCAAACTAGGTAGATATCCAACAGAAATGCAAACATCTGTTCTCCATAAAACATGTACAAGAATGTTCACAGCTGCACTTTTCAAAATAGCCCCTAACTGGAAACTACTCAAATGCCCATCAACTGTAGAATGGATAAGAAATTGTGGCATATTCACATAATGAAAACGAACACATTACTATTACAAGCAACAAATATGTTGTGAGCAAAATGTTTTGCTCACAAAAATATTATTGAGCCAAAGAAGCCAGAAAAAATACTGTATGATTCCATTTTACATAAAGTACAAAACAGACAAAATTAGTCTATTCTGGGATTATTGCTTCTGGGTTCTGGAAATTTTCTATTTCTTGACCTGCTTATTGTTACACGGATGTGTTCACTTTGTGAAAATGCACAGAACTGTGTGCATATATTGTATTTCAGTAAGAAAACTCAACAGAAAAAAAATGAGTGACACTGATTCCCAAGCATATAGAGCAGGTTTCTTTGCATGTCATGAGTGACCATCCCACTGCCAGCACTGATGTGTGGACCATAGGAACAAATTACTCCCTACCCAGATGATTCAGCCCATCTTCCTATTGGGCAGTTTCCTGAGATTTGTGCTTTCTCGCCTGTCTGAATAAGAAAGGAAGGGTATGTGGTGTTTAAGCTTCTACAGTTTTGCATAAAAACACATTGTTGAGAGAGTGGCAGGGACATATATACACTATTAAATGTAAAATAGATAGCTAGTGGGAAGCAGCCGCATAGCACAGGGAGATCAGCTCCATGCTTTGTGTCCACCTAGAGGGGTGGGATAGGGAGGGTGGGAGGGAGACACAAGAGGGAGGGGATATGGGGATGTATGTATATGTATAGCTGATTCACTTTGTTATACAGCAGAAACTAACACACCAGTGTAAAGCAATTATACTCCAATAAAGATGTAAAAAAAACACACACACAAAAACCCATTGTTCAGGGGTTTCTGCTGCCAAGAATCAGGAGTATTGGGTAATTAGTGACCAGGGCTGCAGATGAAGCACCCAGTCGTTCCTTCTGAAGATCTGGAGTCAGAAAGGTTGGTAATTACTGTTTTTATTATTATTTTTTTTTAATATTTATTTATTTATTTTGGCTGTGCCAGGTCTTCGTTGCAGCACGTGGGATCTTCGTGGCAGCATGCGGCTCTTAGTTGCTGCATGTGGACTCTTAGTTGTGGCATGCGGACTCATAGTTGTGGCATGCATGCAGGATCTGGTTCCTCGACCAAGGTTCAAACCCGGGCCCCCACCCCTGCCCCCACTGGGAGTGCAGAGTCTTACCCACTGGACCACCAGGGAAGCCCCATTACTGTTTTACTAAATGCAGTGATTGTCAGAAATCTAATTAAGTAAACTCTCAATAATAAATTTATTGGGTTTTGCTTGCCTCTTTAGAAGCTATAAGCTGTAAGAAAATTATTTGGAGTAATTCAGAAATAAAATCACGGACCTTCATGATTTGTCTGGCTGTATGGATTAGTCCCCAACCTTCTTTACTTTCAATATCTACATTTATTCACACGATGATCAAAGGGTGATGCTGGGACCCTGCAGGGCTTCAACAAACAAAGACACTTTCTCTTTGGTACATTAAATTTCTCAAGGCAGGAAAGGGGCTAATACATACAAAAACCTTTAAAATGAAAACTAAGACACTGATATAAAAATGTTTTGGAAAGAATACTATGGATGTAGCTCAAAACAAAATTCAAGGGGTACAATGCTGTATACATGTATCCCTCCTGCTGTGATTTCCTTTGATCAGTGGCAACCACTATTACCAGATTCTTTGGGGAGTTCACTGGAGATATAGCATATTTGTGGGTGTATTGTGTCCCCACATTGTGGATGTAATATGTTTTCTTTTTTTTTTTGCGGTACACGGGCCTCTCACTGTTGTGGCCTCTCCCGCTGCATAGCACAGGCTCCGGACGCGCAGGCTCAGCGGCCATGGCTCACGGGCCCAGCTGCTCCGCGGCATGTGGGATCTTCCCGGACCGGGGCACGAACCCGCATCCCCTGCATCGGCAGGCGGACTCTCAACCACTGTGCCACCAGGGAAGCCCTATGTTTTCTTTTAATATAAATGGCAGCATCCTGTGTACTCCGTCTCACCCCCTGTTTTGCTCATTTAACAGCATATGCTGGAGATATACCGCACCAGCATTTTAAAATGCTTTACAGTATTCTATCATATAGGTTGTTCCAGTTACTATTGCTGTTAACAAATTACTGCAAATCTTAATGGCTCCAAACAAGAACAATCATTTTATTATTACCTCTCATGTTTCCAGAGGTAGCTGTACTCAGCTAAAAGGTTCTTGCTTGTGGTCTCTCATGCAGCTGTAGTCAGATGGCTGCTGGAACTGGAGTCATTTTGAATCTTCCTTGCTCACGTGTCTGGTGATTGATACTGATTGTTAACTGGAACCTCAGCTGGGTCATAGGCTGGAATACCTACACATAGCGTCTCCTCATGGCCTGGGCTTCCTCACAGAATGGAAGTGGGGTTCCAAGGTCCAGCATCCCAAGAAACAGAAAGTTGAAGCTACCAGTTTCTTTTTTTCTTTTCTTTTCTTTTTTTTTTTTTTGGCCATGCCGGTGGCTTGTGGGGTCTTAGTTCCCTGACCAGGGATCGAATCCCGGCCCCTACAGTGAAAGAGCCGAGTCCTAACCACTGGAACACCAGGGAATTCCTGCTACCAGTTTCTTCAAGCTTGGGTGTGGGAAATGTTATATTGTCACTTTTACTGAATTCTTTTGGTCAAGAATTCATGGAGCTTAGATTCAAGGGAGGGGACATGGACTCCACTTTTCGACCAGAAACTTGCCAAAAATTTTGAGGTTGCGTTTTTAAAATAATTTTTTTGGGCCTTGCTGTGTGGCATGCAGGGATCTTAGTTCCTCGACCAGGGATCAAATCTGTGCCCCCTGCATTGGGACCTCAGTCTTTTTTTTTTAAGATTTATTTATTTATTTTTGGCTGCATTGGGTCTTAGTCGTGGCACGTGGGATCTTCACTGAGGCATGTGGGATCTTTCGTTGCAGTGCCCAGGCTTCTCTCTAGTTGTGGCATGGGGTTTTCTCTCTCTCCAGTTGTGGTTCACGGGCTCAGTAGCTGCCCCAGGGCATGTGGGATCTTAGTTCCCCGACCAGGGATCGAACCCGCGTCCCCTGCATTGGAAGGCGGATGGATTCTTTACCACTGGACCACCAGGGAAGTCCCTAAAATAATTGTTTTTGTTAAAGTCATGTACCATGACTTATTTAATTAGTTCTTCATTCTTTTCTTCAAATTATTTATTGAGCGCTTACTACCTTCCAAGCACTGTTCCAACCTCTGAGGATACAGCAAAGGAAGAAAGAAAAACTGGGTCAAATCTGTCTTCTTGGAGCTTACGTTCCAAGGGGAGCTTACATTCCATTCCATTGGGAGAGAAAGACGATAAACATATAAATAGGTAAATCAAATTATATAAGGTGACAAATGTTGTGGAAAATATATAGTAGGGTAGGGGGTGATAGGGGTTGGTTTTTAAAATAGGGTCAGAAAAGTTTCCACTGAGTAGGTAACCTTTGAGCAGAGACCTGAAGCAAGTGAGGCAATGAATCATGCTTGTAGTATTCCAAGCAGCGGGAACAGTGAATGCAAAGGCTTTGAGTCCAGAGTGTGCTTGGAGTGCTCAAGAAACAATCCCAATCCCAGAGATTCTGATTCAGGAGGCCTGGGGGACGGGTAGGAGGGACATTCTAGCAACATGCTAGTGATTCTCACTCACACAGACTTCTGACGCTCATTTTGCAGACCCGGGCTTTGTTTCTCTCTTCTGTAAGAAGGAGGTTTGCGGTGGGATAACAGCACCCTATTGGACAGATGTTTGTTTCTTTGGCTTCAGTAAGGGAGCCCTCAGCGTCCCTCACCCCACCCCACAGCAGCCTTTTGCTTGTCCGCTTGCATTTTCTTTCTCCTTTTCTTCGTTATCTTTTCAAATTTCTTTCCTTTTTAATTTTTCTCTTTATTCCTGTTTTCCTCTGTTCCCACCACGGCCCCCCCTTCCCTTCTCCTTTTCTTTTAATCTCTTCTTCCTTGACCAAGTGTTGTCCCAAGCTACCGTCACCGTGGGCATCAGGGTTCCCCTGTCTGAATCCTTTCAGAGGTCTGGAAGGGGACTCCACTTATCAACCTAAGGGTGATATACACAGAATGCGTGTGTCTATCTGGGAGTACAGGCAAGTTCCCGCAGATGGCAGGGGTAGGACTGAGGGGAGCAGGGTCTGCCAGCAGGGGAAGTGGGGGAAGGGCACGGACCGGGTTGGGGAGGGGTGTGGGGTGGGCAGACTTCGCGGAGAACCACCCCTGCAGCTCGACAGCGGAGTGCCTTCCACCTTCTCCCAGGCGCCTCCTCCTGACCGGCACATGGTGGAGCTAGGATGGGATGTCGTGGCAGCCAAAGCCTCCGAGACAACGCCTGCCGAGGTCCGCCTCCCACAGGACGGGTTTGAGAACCACCCGGCGCAGATCCGAGAGAGGCTTGCCGGGCGGGGTGAGCATTTTCCGCCACCTGCGCTTAGAACTTCACTGCGGTTCGCGGAGATTAAAGCGCGGAAGGCATTTTGCCCATTGAGGCCTCCGTAGCGAGGGGGCGAGGCCCGGAAGGGAGCAGGATGGCGGCGCTGGATAGAGACAGCGACGAGGATTTGGTCAGCTATGGGACGGGCCTGGAGCTGCTGGAAGAAGGTGCGGGCTAGATTCGTCGCCGGGGCCTGTGGAAAACAGGCCGGGGGTCCAGGATTCGGGGCAAAAACGCACAACCCTGTGCCAGACCTTGTCTGGCACCGGGGGAAAGGCTCGCCTGCTACGGGCTCTGGGAACAGCGACCAGAGAGGCGTGCACTGTGTTTGCGGGGTGCTCACGTTTTGCAGGGACGGATGGGAGGCCCGGAGGGATGGGAAGAAGAAGGATGATAAACAGGCTCGTGTGAGAGCGGGGATAGGGGAAGAGCGGTGGTCAGGCAATGTTTTTCCTAGGAGAGGACGTTTGAGCTCAGCCTTGAAACAGAGAAAGGAAGCAACCGTACGAAGATTTGGGGGGAGAGCATTTCAGGCGAAGCGAACAGCAAGTGCAACGGCTCTGAAGTCGGAGCCAGTTTGGCAAATTGAGGGGCAGGCAGGACTGATGTGGGTGGAGCAGACAGCACCAGGGGGAGGCTGGTAGAAGATGATGGCAGAGGGGGAGGCGGGGGTTGAGTCTTGGTATGGTCAGGGAGTTTGGATTTTAATACTAAGTGTAGAAGAGTCATGGGGGAGGGGGTTACACAAAGGAGGGATGTATATTTTTCAGATTATTCTGTCCTCGATTTTGAGGGTAGGCGGGTTGGAGGTGGGCAGGAGTGAAGCAGGGAGATGAGCAAAAAGAGGCCAGGCGATAATAGTGGCGGTGGTTAAGTAGTGGTGAGTTGAGATGTGCTTTGAAAGCAGAGCTGACCCTACTCGCTGGTGGAATGTGGGGGTGAGTGCAAGATGAAGCAAGATTCACCCCTGTGTTTCTGGTCTGATCCACTTAATGACTTGATTTGTTTCGTAAAGTATGTATTGGATGGCTAGTAAGGTCTGATGGCAGTGCTAGCCCTGTGGGAAAGACAAAGGAAGTTTGGTGGGCTAGGAGTTATTTGCAGACTCTCCGTTTTTCCTACCCTGACCACATCGTGTCAGGTTGGTTGTCCTTCTGAGACGTTGCCACTGATTACCCTCTTATGCTCTACAAACAGTTCTAATCATTAGAAACTTCTGCCAGATGCTGGCCCTGTTCCTACTGTCTGCTTACATAAGACAGAGAAATGCTAGTCTCCTGAAAGCTTCTTACGTGTTTAAAGACACCCCTTGCATTCCCTCTAAGACATCTCTGTACCACACTCAGTTTTCTAATAAATTAAGCTTCAAGTCCCCTCAACCCTAATTTGTCGGAGCTTTCTTCAAGCATGGGACCAGAGTGTGGGTAGACTGGGGCCGTTATTAGTATGTCCTTCATTTTAGAGTGTGTTTCTTTACCACAATCTAAGCTCACATTAGCTTTATTAGCAAACACATCATCCCATAGTCTCAAGGAAGTGGTTGACAAAGATTCTTAATTTGAGGGGTTTCAAATCTAGTTGAGAACAAAAGTATGAGGTTCACAAGTGCTAAAGTATGTGATGTAGAGAGGAAATAACCTATACAAGCTAACAGGGAAACCTGAGAAGGCAGGATGGGACCCCTTGAAAACTGGTTAGAATTTAGGTATGCAGGAAGAGGACAGGGTTAAACATGCATGGGTGGAGGTTATTACAGCCCTGCCAAGCAGGAGTTTGTGTCATTCCTCTATTTCTGGTCTCACAGTTGTTTCCTTGTGAAGTGACATATTGTAAGTCATCAACTATTTGACCTATATTTTTCTAATTCTTCCTGTTTTGATGGTGTACAAAATCTGTGATGAAGCCTAATGGTCTAGCCAGGCTCTTGAAGTAGAACGGACTTTTTTTCCAGCCCCCCCCAGCCTAAAATTATCCTTTAACTTCTCAGTACTAGGAGTCTTTGAGGATTGATCCATTGTTTCCTAAGCACTTTGAAGTTAAAACACACTCTGACTACATTTTACAATATAACATACTAGACCAATAATCACTTTTACCTCCTACTTTGAAGTTCTAGTGACAGGTTAGACAAACATTGGTAGAGGAGGGACTCCATTACTTAATTAAAGTTGCTGGCCCTGACAGAAAGTTTTATTGGGTAAGAGAGTGGCTGATCTGTTACCCACAGACTCATAGACACATAGGCCCTCTGGCCTGGAAGGAAGGTGCCTCAGTGCTTATCTAATCTTCCCTTAGATACATTCACTTGGCTGTAGAGTTCTCCTCATCGCCTGCTCATCCTGCACTCAGATTAATTTAGGACCATTTTCTTCTTCCTTGATGTTGTGACTCTCCCACTTAAAACTATCTGTGGCTCCCAGTCACCCACAGGACATACCACAGACCCTGCAGCACTGTGTTCCAGGCCCACTGCGCTATCTGCCCTTTTGGTTCCATCTCCCGTGCATTCCCTGTCCTCCAGTCAGACTAGACTACTTTCTCAAACATCTGACCTTCCCCTTTTCCACCTCCTGTTTACTGTTTACTGATGGAATTAATGCCTCTGTGGGGAATTGTGTCCCTATGTGCAGCTGTCAGATGCTCACGCCTCTGGGTGACTCTGATGTTGTGGACCTTGAACATTGTCAGAACAGTTCCTATACATGCAGGTCTCTGCTGGGCTTGGAGTGCCCTGGGAACAGGGACGGAGTTGTATTCAGTTTTCCACACCCAGCATCTAGAACAGGGCTGCTTCCATGGAAAGGCCCTCAGTAAACTTCTGGTGGGGAGCAAGTAAAGGACAGAATGGGTTGTGTCCCTGACTTGGAGGCAGAGTTGAGATCTGATTTCAGCTTTGTGCTTATTAGCTGTGGACCTTAGAGCACTTACTTAATCAGAGCCTCCTTATCAGGGTATGATAAATGGGATAATACTGTTAGTAACAATAATTATAATAGGGCCTGGCTAAAATGCCACTTCCTCCCTGTAGTTTTCCTGTGCTGTGGTTAGAGGCGGGGCCTCCTCCTCAGGAGCCCTGTGGGACCTGGTCACCCACACTGCTTGGCCCTCGTCATCTGCTGTCTGGTTCTACCTAGTTGTCTGCAGATCTTATCTCCCCTTTCAGCTCAGGAGTACCTGGAGAACAGAGCAAGCACAGAACCTCACATTGGCAGGACCTGTCATCTCTCCCCTTAACCCAGTGGTTCTCAACCAGGGATGAACTTGCCCCCCCCAGGGGACATTTGGCAATGTCTGGAGACATTTTTGGTTGTCATGCTTTTTCAGGATGGGGGCGTTACTGGCATCTAGTGTGACAGGCTAGGGATGCTACCAACCACTGTACAAGACAACTAAGAATTATCCAGTACAAACTGTCAATAGTGCTGAGGCTGAGGAACTCCACCTTAGCCAGGAATTGTGCCAGGTGCACGTGCAGTAAAGGAGCATGTGTACTGTATTTTCTAAGAAATGGTGAAAGTCTTGGACTGTGGGACCTGAGTTGTAATTCAGTTCTTTAGAATGAAATGAAATTGTAGTGATATTAACCAAGCTTTGCTATGGCCAGGGACTGTGCTCAGTTCTCCTGGTTTTTAATCCTCGGCACCATCCTACAAGGTGACTTCGGTTATTATCCTAATTTTATAGTTGTGGAGACTGAGGCTTAGAGAGACAAAAAACTTGCCTATAATCACACAGCTAGCAAGTAGGAGGGTAGAGGGATTTGAACCTGGATCTCCCTTCTTCAGAGCCCTCTTAATTACCCTGCTGTGGGTTATATTCTAGAAATGACCTAAAGCCTCCGAAAGCTACAAGTAAGAATTTAGGACTACGAGGCTAGACATTTCTTTACTTTTTGTTGCACTATCCAGAAGTAGTAACTGGCTTAATTATTGAAGTAACAGGTATACATGGGCTTTAGGATACATCTTACCTACTGTATGTACTACTATTACTATAACAGCAATAGCAGCTAGGGGACTTCCCTGGTGGCCCAGTGGTAAAGAATCCGCCTTACAATTCAGGGAACGCAGGTTCAATCCCTGGTCAGGGAACTAAGATCCCACATGCCGCGGGACAACTAAGCCCGAGCGCCACAGCTACTGAGCTCGTGCGCCTCAACGAGAGAGCCCGTGTGCCACAAACGACAGAGTCCACGCGCCCTGGAGCCCTGTGCCACAACTAGAGAAGAGAAAACCCACACGCCACAACTAGAGAGAAGCCTATGTGCCTCAACAAAAGACCCCACATGCCGCAACGACGATCCTCGTGTGCTGCAACTAAGACCCTATGCAGCCAAAAAAAAAAATTAAAAAAATACATAAATAAAATTAAAAAAAGAGCAGCTAGTACTTTAAATATGTTTATTGTGGGTCCCTCTTTTTGTTAAGCACTTTACAGGCATTATCTGATCCAATTTGCATAACAACTCTATAAAATAGATATTACTATTAATGTTCCATTTTACAGATGAGGAAATTGAGGCACAGAGAGGCTAAGATGACCATAGTCCCTAGTAAAGGTGACCAAAGTGCTAGTAAAGGTGGGCTTAGCTTTAAAATCCAGAGTGCCGTGACTCTCAACCCCAAGCGCTTAACTACTGTCTAACTTGCTTTCAGTAGTGAATGTTTGAAAATAACTTGATGGTTACTTTTTGTTTTAAATAGATTCAGAAGTTTTAATTAGAACTGATAAAATTAGGCAGTAATTTGTGTCATGAAACTTGAAACCTAAGGAAATTTTTAGGAAATTCTAAGTTCCTTTTCACTGGTGTTATTTAGCACCCCAGCCCTTTTCAGCCAAGTAAGTAAAGGAATAAGCTTAAAGAACAGTAATTATGACATCAGGAGAGTCCCAGAAATAAGGAAACTCAAGATTTGGGGAAGATGGGCAATGCCAATGGAAAAATTCTGGAGTCGGGGATGCTGTGAGTTTCTAGAAGAGATATAGAAGTGTGTCCCTTGCCGTAAACCTCTGCACACCATGTGCCACCCCAGCAGCTTGCCTACTTTACTGCCAGCAGATTTCACCTCCATCTCTGAACCCTTCGCCCAATAATTCAGTTTTCATAATGGAATTTAGTGGGAAAAGCAGGCCATTTTTGCTAAAACATTTCTAATATAAACAAGAGATACTGTTTTCTAAACTACGTCAGCTACTAAGGTCTAGGAATAGCAACTTAATTAAACTTGTTATATTTGAAGTTACAAGAAGTGAACAATGCATTATGTTAAAGAAATGTTCTTTTCCTTAAATCCTCTCTAACCCACCATCACCTTCTGTCCCATTCAAAATATTATTTTTTCAGGCGAGAGACCAAAGAAACCAATTCCTCTTCAGGATCAGACTGTCAGAGACGAAAAAGGAAGGTATAAACGATTTCATGGAGCCTTCAGTGGAGGTTTCTCTGCTGGTTACTTCAACACCGTTGGTTCAAAAGAAGGTAGGATTTTCCTACTTGTAGCTACTATATCGCTAAAGCAAATGATTGAAATACCGTAGGAATTTTGCTCCTCTCCCTCACCTCTCCCTTTTAGAAAAACTTTAAAAAACATTTTAGTACATACACTGTAGTCTTTTGTGTTCTTTGAATGTTTGCAATGTTTCCAGAGACAACTTATGTGTTGTTCATTGATTATAACTTGAAGGTGAGAGAGTTTTCTTTGACTTTAAAGAAAAAAAATAGATACGTCATAACCAAATGATTAAATGATAATAAGGACTTCTGTCTTATACTGTATCTTGCCACACACTCAGTGCTCTCACACAGATTCACTCAGGGCCTAAGGAGGGCAGGTGTCCCAGCTGTTTTGTGGCTGAGGACCCTGCAGGTCCCAACACTGGGTTCCACAGCATCACTTGTCAGTACATGTTCTCCACCTGGAGAAAAGTCAGTCAAATTTTTCACATTATGCAGTATAATAAATTCTGTATTGTTTAAAATAATATATGTTGGGAATTCCCTGGCAGGCTTCCACTGCAGGGGGCACGGGTTCAATCCCTGGCCGAGGAACTAAGATCCCGCATGCTGCACAGCACAGCAAAAAAAAAAAAAAGTAATGTATGTTTTTAAAAAACATTTTAACACAGAAACTGGAAGAAAATGGCTTATGTACATCAAATACGAATGAAGATGACTGATTAACTCACATAGCAGTTATTAAGAGCAAGATGAGCCAGATCTTTCATATATATTTTTAAAAGTAACTCATACATAACAATGATAGTAGGGACTTCTCTAGTGGTCCAGTGGTAAAGAATCCGCCTTACAATGCAGGGGGACGCGGGTTCGATCCCTGGTCAGGAAGCTAAGATCCCACATGCCGTGGGGCAACTAAGGCCGCATACCACAACTACAGAGCCCACGTGCCCTGGAGTCCATGCGCCACAACTAGAGAGAAGCCCACGCGCCACAACGAAAGATCCCACATGCGGAAACTAACACCCAACGCAGCCAAAAATAAATAAATAAAAATAATAAATAAATCTAAGAAAAAATGACGGTAGTAAAATAAAGATGAAAAACAATACAAGAAAGGGGTGGGGGAAGGCATGTAAGAAAAATAATTAGGGTAAATAAGATGGTTAAAGTTCACTATCCAGAATGTATAAAGATCAGTTCAATGAGCAAATGATCAGAGTATTGGAACAGTTTACTCCAGAGGAGATAGAAATGCTACGTGGAATAGTCAGCCTTATTATTAAGAAAAGCAAAGTAAGGTAACTAAGGCACTATTAAAGTAGCGCACTTATTAAAATGTTAAAAATGGCAGTAGAATTTGTGAAGAAAGAAGTACACGAATACATCGCTGGTTGTTATAATTATGGCTGTGCTGTATATTATAATTGAAAAGTAAGACCAGCTCAAATGATTAGTCATCACAAGTAGACTGTGATATGTTAACACACTGGAATATCTCTTTACCATTAAGAGTGACAGATTCAGGTCCTGTGCAGATACAGGGCAAAGACCATAGATATCCAAAGTGGAGGAAAGTGCTGGGCCAGGGTATCGCCTGGAAGAGCTGGTCTTCACTGTCCTGGGGTTTCTCCCAAGTTGGCCTGCAAGGCTGCTCTACCCACCTACCAAGAATAGGTCTGCCCCATACTCCTCAGCTCCCCAAGACTCTGGTTGGAAGTCAGAAGGAGGTGTGCCACTCTTAGAGAAAACTAAAAAAGTGTATCTTAGAGGGTTACAGATACATTTGACCTCTGGGGCATTTTCTCCACAGCACATGCTTGGTTACCGTGGGTGGGGAACAAGAGCGTTAGTTATAGGACTCAGGTATTTGATGGAATTGGGGGCCTAGTATGGTCATCGCCTGCCCTTAGACTAGCCAGGTTGAATCCTTTCATGGCTGACTAATGCACCCTGACATACTGTTTCTTTGATATGTTAGTATGTTGGTGTATATTGCTGTCCTGGTGGTCTCAGAGTGGTCCTGCCTTATAAGGTGACCTTGCATCTTTTTGCTGAGATCTGCTTGTGTTCCTTTCACAGTTTAACTTTCAATGTATCGTTTTATTTCTCTTGGTTGCAAATTCTTATGGGGAAACCCTACTGTATCCACTAAGTTCTGACAACAGGGCGTATGGGGGTTAATAAGAAGTTTGTGTGGACTAATTGTGTCTATGTGAGCAGTGAGATGAGAAGTAGCTAAGAGTTTGTAGTTATTGGAGGTTTCAGGTCCGCATGTGTTACTTAATTATTTAGTTATAAACCAAAATACCATCTGGGATTGTAATGTTCTAAACGCTTTTCTTTCAAGGATGGACACCCTCTTCCTTTGTGTCTTCACGACAGAACAGAGCAGACAAATCTGTTTTTGGTCCCGAAGATTTTATGGATGAAGAGGTGGGTGTGCAGAACTTTAGCTGCCAGCTAGCCGGTGAGATGTGGGTGATTGGTTGCTGTAGCACCTTCTCTCTCCCCACAAAGTTCAGTGTACGATTTCCTCTTTGTTTGTAAGACTATCATTTTGGTATTTGGACTCCATAGTGCCCTGTACATCAGTGAATTCTTGTTCATTGGCATAGTGCCTTAACTGGCTGGTGCCAATTTCTAAAGTCAAGAGTGTAAGGGTGGCGCAGTGGTTAAGAATCCGGGACACAGGTTCGAGCCCTGGTCCAGGAAGATCCCACATGCTGCAGAGCAACTAAGTCCGTGTGCCACCACTACTGAGCCTATGCTCTAGAGCCCGTGAGTCGCAACGGCTGAGCCCATGTGCCACAACTACTGAAGCCTGTGCGCCTAGAGCCCATGCTCTGCAACAAGAGAAGCCACCGCAATGAGAAGTCCGCATACTGCAACGAAGAGTAGCCCCCGTTCACCACAACTAGAGAAAGCCTGCGCACAGCAACGAAGACCCAACACAGCCAAAAAAAAAGAGTGTAAGGGGAAGGTCATATACAGGCAAATTTACTTGAAAAAGCCCCAACTGCCCCAAAAGTGCAGTGTCTGTCAAGCTGAGTCCACAGCCTTCCATGGTGACTCTTTTTTTAAAAAAAATATTCCAGCATAATTAAAACTTTTTTTAAATTTTATATTGGAGTATAGTTGATTAACAGTGTTGTGTTGTGTTAGTTTCAGGTGTACAACAAAGTGATTCAGTTATACATATATGTGTATCTATTCTTTTTCAAGTTCTTTTCCTATTTAGGTTACTACAGAATATTAGGTAGCGTTCCCTGTGCTATACAGTAGGTCCTTGTTGGTTATCTCTTTTAAATATAGCAGTGTGTACACGTCAATCCCAAACTCGCAATCTATCCTTCCCCCTCCCCTTCCCCCTTGGTAATCATAAGTTCATTCTCTAAGTCACAGTGACTCTTACGCACACTGCAGTTTAAGGAGGAGTGAGTGACTAGACTAGAGAAAGGAGTGAAAGGAAGCCCTGTGCAGGTATCTGGGCACCTCATTAAAGTGACCATGACCGCCGCTTCTTACGGGTAAACGGTGTGGGGTTTCTAAAGTGGTGCTACTGGCCTGCAGCCTGGGCTACATTTTCTGGTAAAATTAAGCCTCTCTTACCTTAAAAAACCTAGTCATGGGTTCATTTGTGATAAAGATTAAGTAAAATACTTACCTGAGCATGTTTTAGGCTGCAGGTAAGTGGCAAGGGGTGGTCCCCTTCCTGTTTGACTAGCAGAATCTATGAGGAAACATATCTCATGGAACAAGAAGTCCAGATGTCAGCAAGGCCCCAGGCTCTCAGGTAGCTTCTGCACGTCAGCTTGTCCTTCCATGACCTCACCTCACTGTTGCAAGGTGGCCACAGTAGTTCCAGGTGGCACATCTGGGATGACATTATCCAGTGGGGAGGAGGACTTTCTTCTTGGAATCTTTCCTTGAGAGCAGAGAAGCCATTTGGTGGATTTTCCCTCACATCGGCTCCAGTGAATTGTTCTACAAGCTCATTCTTAAAGCAGTCCCTGGTGAGGAAAATGGGATCAGAATGACTGGCTTAGACAAGATGTGAACCCCACTCCCTAACCCTCCCCTGCCCCAACACATCCCCCACGAGGGACATCACTCCTGAAGGGCATGGTGGCGCAGAGCCAGGCCAGTGCCTGGACAGCATCAGGGCTCCGTGGGGAGAGCGGAAGGGTCTGTGGCTGCTGGACAGGGAGCGGATGTTACTTAACTCTAAGCCTGGCACAGAGGTGCTCCCGAATGCTTGCTGACTGTGCCTCCAAGACCTTTTCCGCCTTCACACTGACCTTTGAGGTACTGTCCAAGAAGAACAAAGAACAGAGCACTTACTTCCTGTTTTCCTAGCTTGGCAGTGCCTGTTGTGGCTTCGCTGAGTGGCCACTGTCATGCCCCTGTCCTTGGGCACTGGCCTTAGCTTATGCAAAGTCAGGGCGTAAATCAGCTGCTCTGCTGATCCCTAACTCAATCATAGTTTTAACTTTTTTTTTTTTAAAGTAATAGAGCTGTGTAATGTATCATGTTTAATCACTTTCCAAATAATGTAAGTAATTCTGTTTGAATTTTTTTTTTTTTTTAAGGATCTTAGTGAATTTGGGATAGCACCTAAAGCGATTGTTACCACAGATGATTTTGCTTCTAAAGCCAAAGATCGAATACGAGAAAAGGCCAGGCAGTTAGCAGCAGCTACTGCCCCTATTCCTGGCGCCACTTTGCTTGACGACCTCATAACACCAGCAAAGTAAGAAGAGTTTAATTCTGACTTTTCTGATCTTGGCATCACTGCCTTGCCTGTGTGTGATGATCTTACTTAGGGATAGTTTGGTTGCAAGTAGGAGAAGCCCTTTCAGCCTAGCTTGAGTACAAAAGGGGGTTTTGCCAAAAGGACCTTGCGCTGTTACCACATGGAGTGCTCTAGAGCTCCAGACACTAGCTGTGTTAGTGGGGCTCATGGCAGCTGGAGAGCTATTAGGAACTGGGGTGACTTCCCTCCCACCCCCTGCCTCACAAGCCTTAAGGGCTCTCTCCTCATTCTGCCCTCTTTCTGCATACTTCTTTGTTCTGCTCCTGGGTATGTGGCCTGTTGTGGCAGCCTCAGACCATCATGGTTTCCCAGGCCACATGCTTGGCATCTATGTGCCCATCGCAAAGGCCTGGGAGAGGGGGCATCTGATCAGCTTCCCCAGGTCCAGTCAGCTGTGGTGGGAACAGCAGGGCCATGCAGTTCTAATAGGGATGGGGGAAAGGGCTGAGGCATGACAGGTACATGAGCTGCTTATTTCCTACTGTTCGTTAGTGTTTTAAAAAGAAGTTCATTTTCAATGCCTTGATATCCTAGGTTATCTGTTGGTTTTGAATTGCTAAGAAAAATGGGTTGGAAAGAAGGACAAGGAATTGGTCCTCGAGTAAAGAGAAGACCACGCCGACAGAAATCTGGTACGTGTACTGATTGTCATTAACTCTACAGCAGACTTTTTGATGACTACATGTTTCTAGAAGTAAGATTGCTGGGTCAAGCGGTGTGCACGTATTTTAAGGTTTTTTTGTGTGTAATTTACCATAACTTTCTGGAAGGATTGTACTAGTTTACCTTCCCACCAGCAGCATATGAAAGTTCTTGTTCCTACTTTTGCCAAAACTGTGTTATAGCTTAACGTGATTATTTTCTATTGTTCCTGTTGCTTGGTCTCCCCAGCCAGACTGTGAACTCTTGGAGGCAGCAGTACTTTCTCTCAGGTTCTCAGTGGTTCTGGGCAGTAGTGGTTACTCACCATGTGCATCATTGCCAGAGTGCAGGTGGGGCAGGGGCTGGTGGAAAACAATCCCTGAGTGGTCAGTGTCCGACTCTAAAGCTGTAGCGTCTTTTACAGGCTCAGCCGTCTACCGCGGAAGAGTGTCAGTGAATCAGGTTCCTATAATTTTAGTCACCTCTGACTAATGCATTTGAAATCTCTTTTATAGATCCTGGAGTAAAAATCTATGGCTGCGCATTACCCCCTGGAGGCTCTGAGGTATTGTATGGGATGATTGACCTTCAGTTTGGCCCAGTAGCACCTGTTACTCTCTGAGCGTGAAATTTAGGTTCGGAAAATTTTAGAAATCAGTCAGATCACATTATAGGGAAATACCCATACCCTAAAAATGTCCTCATTATGTCAGATGTATTTAGCAACATGCCAGCCCCATAGATGTCCCAAGTCTGTTCAGATTCTTAATATGGAGTTGTTTGTCAGACATAGGCTCACAAACTAGAAAACAAACTTATGGTTAGCAAAGGGGATAGCAGTGGGGGCCAAGGGGGAGAGATAAATTGGGACTTTGAGATTAACATATACATACTACCATATATAAAATAGGTAAACAACAAGGACCTACTGTATAGCACAGGGAACTATATTCAATATCTTGAAATAACCTATAATGGAAAAGAATCTGAAAAAGAATATATATATAAAACTGAATCATTTTGCTGTGCACCTGAAATTAACACAACATTGTAAATCAACTATACTTCAGTTAAAAAAAGGTTAAAAAAAATGAAGTTGTTCGTGTTAGTATCATTTGTTCAGGGACTTGATTTAGTCATTTGTAATAGTGGAAACGAAAGTATGATAATTGTTCTGTTTGGAATTAATCACTGCATTTGAAAATAGTATTTTACAGGCTTTACACCAGGCAGTGACTCACCTTCATTCCATTTTGAAACACTGAAAATAGGATGAAGATGATGACTACTTGCCAGAAAATGTGACCTTTGCACCCAAAGATGTCACACCTGTGGATTTCACACCTAAAGATAATGTACATGGACTGGCTTACAAGGGCCTGGATCCCCACCAAGCACTGTTTGGAACTTCAAGAGAACACGTTAGTCTCTTTAGTGGTGGACCCGAGGGTGCCAACAATCTTCTTGGAGATGTTGGAGTGAATAAAGGAAGAAAATTGGGAATTTCAGGCCAGGTAAAAGTGTTTCTGTTTTATAAACAGGGAACCATTGACAAATGAGAATTCTTGCTGTATTATATTAGCCCCATAGTAAGCACTCATTATTCGTTGACTAAATGAAGACCTTAAAGTGGTTGTATTGTCCTTAGGAGCTTGTCTGAAGACATGTAAAGCACACCGTCCTAATTTGAATATGTGTTCCTGAGACCCTGTGACCTAATGTGCCTGGTGGAGTTTGTGTGTGAGGAGTGAAGACTGCTTTCCCACACCCCTGCGGGGCTGAGCAGAAAACCACACTCACCTCTTTGATTTATTTAATAGTTGAATTACAATCTGCCTTTCCAAGTTCAGGTCCAAGTTGTACTACCTCTCCAACTCTTTCCTAGTGCTGCAAGCCCTAAGTCAAGAACCTGGGTGTAAGTTTCACTTTTTACCAAGGGGCCTTGGTAAAAAGACTTGCTTTTTACCTTTGAGGAGATGGAGAGCTTTTCCTGATTGCCTGTCTTCTCAAATTGATTCAGAGTCTCTTTCCTAAAATAAGTTCAGAGGATGGTTACTTTGTCATTTCATTTGTACCTTTTCTTTCCTTCACATGTTTTTTTTTCCAATCCTTTTAACAAAAAGTGATATTTGTTCTTCGCCATTTCCCACAAAGATTAGGAGTTCTTCTAGCAGCCGTTAGAGTAGCGGCGGTCTTCAGACCCTGGTCACCGGCGCTGGCACCAGACCGTGTTGTTCAGTAGATGAACATTCTGCCTTTCTCCTTTTGGAGGCCCCATTTCTCCCCCTGCACTGCTGCTTGGGTGTCTTCTCCACTCCTCTTCCTGCACTAAGACCCAGACCCGTGGCTGCTGCTGAGTCTGGAGGACAGCTGCAGTGCTGGAGGCATGACATTCACTTCTGGTCATTGTTTTCCAAAAGACTTGGATACTTGTGTTAATCTGGGGCTCCCATTCGCTTCTCTCTTGGTGATCTTGAAGTGCTAATGTGGTCTGATCAGTCACATCCTTATAGTAGCCTTATCCTTCAGTGCAGGCAGGCATATGCTAACACCTATAATGGCTCAGTGTGAAATCTTGCTTTTGAAGGCTTTTGGTGTAGGTGCCCTGGAAGAGGAAGACGATGATATCTATGCCACGGAAACTCTATCCAAGTATGATACCATTTTGAAGGATGAGGAGCCTGGAGACGGACTGTATGGCTGGACAGCACCCAGGCAATATAAAAATCAGAAAGGTAATTCCATGGACCCGCAACCGATGGTAGACCAAGTGTTGGGACATTAGCCTCCGTGGAGCAGGGAGTTGTTGGTCAAAGATGCAGAGCGAGGAACAAGTGGGGATAAGAGAGTCCTGTTGTGGGAAGTAAGACGGAAGTGGGATTTAGACCAGTTCAAGGCCAAAGCCAACTGTCAAGACAGAGTCAAGTGGGGAGGAGGGAGGGGCCTGGAATCAGGGAAGGAGCAAGTGTGTGGACATGTGCTTGCTCGTGTTGCAGGTCAGAGCTGACAGTGGGTCAGAGGGACGCACTCCCAGCTCAAGGAACTGGGCAGGTAGCCAAAGGAGGTCAACTGAGGCAGCAGGTCAGGAGGTCAGGCATGGGGACCAGGTGGTAGGTACACAGAGAGCCTGCTGCAAAATGGAGATTGGTGCCCAGCTCATCTCATCACTTAAACTTATCTGGTTCCTCAGGGGCTCTTGTTGAGCTAGGAGATGAACATCTCTTGACACACCTGGAATTTCAACAGAGTCTTATAGTGATTCAGATTCTGTGGTTCTAAGTAGGATTTCAGTTTTTCTTTCCAGAAAAGATATAGGAAGGAGTCAGTAGGTATTAATGGCGTGTGATTTTGATTCAGTCAGACCTGGATTTCAATCTTAGCTCTCAATCAGACCCAGATTCAAATCCCAGCTCTCTACTACCCAGCTTCATGACCATGGGCAAGGCTTGTAGCCTCTCTGGGCGTCACTTGTAAAGTGAGGATAAAATCCACTCTGGGGGTCACTGTGAGGATTAAATGGCATCACAGGTTTGGCATAGTACCTGCCTCAAAGACTGAGTAAATGGCACCTACTGCAACAACCACTTAAAGTAAGGAGGTGAGAGTTCAGATAAAATAATCTATTTAGATGTTTTTAGCTATAGTCAGATCAAGTTTGACCTGACTCTTATAAAATACATCTAAATAATCTAAGCATCACTCCCCAAAATGATGCCAATTTTACACTTCTAGAAGAGAAAAAAGCGGGTGAGAAACAGTCTTTAGTTTGCTTAATGGCTGTGAGCACAGACTGTGAAGAGAGATTCCCTGGGCTCCCATCCTGGCTCTCCCCATTTATCAGCTGTGACTTTAGGCAGGCTCTTCAACCTCTCTATGCCTCAGCGTCCTTGCCTGGGCAATGGGCACGGCAATGGCTTACCTATCCCACGGAAATTTAACGTGCGTAAAGGGCTTAGAACGTGCCTGGCACACAGCAAGCACGCTGCCAGTGTGAGCGGCCTCTGTCACCATCGCCACGAAAAGAACCCAGGGTTTTACACGAGGTGCTGGGCGGGTGTGCACCCAGACGTTAGTAGATGTTATCTCTGGGTGGAAACTAGGCTACTTTTATTTTCTTCCTTTTGCTCACCTATATTTTCAGATTTTTCTACTAAGACTGTGTATTGTTTTTATAACTTAAAAGAAGATATATAATATTATATTAAATTAACGTTATATTAATTAATATTATAGATTATATTAACACGTTACTACATTAACTATATCAACATATTAACACACATACTATATTACTAACATTAATATAATGTATTAATTTATAATAATTACTAACCTATAATAAATATACATATTTAAATCTGCCTTCTCAGCCACATCTTTGGCTTTTCCTTTGTATAACACCTTTGCCCTGGCTGATTAATCCCAGCCTTCCCGCATCAAGCCTGGGTTGGTGCCTCCCTCTGAGGTCCCCACCCTCTGCTCACGGCCTCTCTGCCACAGTTCCCTCTCCTACCCTTAGGGTCACAACATCTATAGTTTTGACCTTACGGTTTTTCACTGAGTGAATCTATACGTAGTCAGTCTCCACGGCTGATTTTTAAATTGTTCTTGTTTTTTTTTCCATGATAAGTAGGGCTATAGTATTCTCATGGCTCTCTCTTTGTAGACATTTGTTTACTTCTTCATAAAGGTGAAATTGCTGGGGTTTTTTAAAAAATAAATTTGTTTATTTATTTTTGGCTGCGCTGGGTCTTCGTTGCTGCCTGCAGGCTTTCTCTAGTTGCGGTGAGCGGGGGCTACTCTTCATTGCAGTGCGCGGGCTTCCCATTGCAGTGGCTTCTCTTGTTGCGGAGCACAGGCTGTAGGGGTGAGGGCTTCAGTAGTTGTGGCACGCGGACCATAGAGCTCGCGGGCTTCAGTAGTTGTGGCGCACGGGCTTAGTTGCTCTGCGGCATGTGGGATCCTCCCAGACCAGGGATCAAACCCGTGTCCCCTGCATTGGCAGGCGGATTCTTAACCACTGTGCCACCAGGGAAGTCCCAGATTGCTGGGTTTTAAAAGAATACAAAATTCGAAGAATGTAATTTAATCCTATATTACCCTACAGAATTTTAGGGACTTCCAGAAGCTGGTCCAAAAGTTCTACGTCAGTTGAAGTGCAAAGAATGAGATTGTGGGGAGGGTAGTTACAGGGCAGTGCTGCATTATAAGCGGCTGAAAACCTCAGTGCCACCTGCCCTGCGGGCAGCCGTGCCTGCTTCAGGGTTCAACACCAAGTTTGTGTAAGTGCTGGTGGTCATGTAGCATGGGCTTTTGGCAACAGAAAATGCAGTTCATGCATATGGATTTTCGACATAACCTCTATGTGCAGAAAATCCTTGAGAATCAAAGGGGTTGTCTCCACAACCAATAGATCATCCCTGGCTGCAAGTTAGAGGGCATTAGTCATATCCTGAATTAGTGATCTGATCTTTTATCTCTTGTTAGAATTTCAGTTGAGAAAAAGACAAAAGCACCTTTTAATTGGTCCCACAGTTAGATTACAGGCTGACCTGGTTGTATTGCCTTTTGTGCCTTACTTGGATGGTTGCTACAGAAATTGGGAGGTCATGTCCCCATGGTTCTTCACCTAGTTTTAGAAATGACTATTTCAAAGTTATTTTTATCCATACTTGTTCTCTTGATGGTTTTACTTGAGATCTTTTACTCTACAGAGTATATTCTTTGGTGCCCCTTAGCATAGGACCGTACGTACTTTTTCTAAATAACGATGTTGAGGTGCCATTGTTAACCTGGACAGCCTTTTCAGCGGTGTGGTCTGGGCTGCCAGTCACTGAGTCAACAGAGGTGTGAGGGCTTTACGTGCCATTCTTTCCTCCCTTTTACTGATTGCAACTATGACATGTAGTGTTTATATTCTCGGAGATAAAAAACTGAGGTCTTTTGTCTTATTCTAAGTTTCTCTGCCTCTGGAATTAATCAAATGACATCATTTTGTAGAATCAGAGAAAGAGCTTCGCTACGTTGGCAAAATTTTGGATGGATTTTCCTTGGCTTCTAAACCTTTATCTTCTAAGGAAGTAAGATTTTTCTTTTTTTTTTTTAAACTGATTTAGCACTTAAAGTATTTGCTGCTGTGTAATCTGAGTTATTTTATTAACAATTGAAAAGATAAATAAATTCTGCTAACAGCAAGCAACAGTCTGGTTACTAGTGATTATCCAGGGAGACACATTCTGCATTGGAAATGTCAGTCAGTAGCCACATCGTGTTCAAAACATCTAACTGCCGATCTTTTAAATGCGAACTTCAAGTGAGTGGTTATTTCCATTAAGGAAGAATTACATTAGAAGCTGGTGGGAGAATGGAATTGATCTAATCCTAGGGGCAATGTAACTTAAAGAAAATTTCAAAGAGCCGTGTCAGCCCATGGTCCCAGCTCCTCCTGGGCGCCATGAGCCCATTAGCTGCTGTGGGCAGGGCTCCCTGGGCTCCATGCCTGCGCCGAGCGGAAGGGAAGACAAGCTGGGAACGTGTGGGTTGAGTCCTGGGGAGAACTCCTCATGCCTTTGCAGGTAGTTCTGTTTCTGTGAGCGTTTTTATAGCTTTGGCCACGGGGCTCTTGAACACCCAACAGAGTCACGTGCTCACAGGTTAGCATGGGTGCTGGTAGCTCAGGAGGGGTGCCTGGCCGTTTGCTTCCTTGGCATCCTTGTTTTAGATTGTTCCACACTTTAATGGGCTTTTTGATTTTAACTCAGCAAACATTTGTTAAGTACCTCTGTGGCTTGGCCTGTGGTTCTCCAGAAGCAGGGAGGCCAGGAGCAGTGCAGCCTGAGAAACCATATACGTTATTACAGCAGCTTTGACTTGTTGAGTCGTGATACTTAATGTGTTGTAACAGAGAGCAGAATATGTTCAGAACAGTGTTGGGCACATAGTCAGCCGCTCTTATTTACCAGAAATGTCATATTATGTTAAAGGAGAATGTGAGTTTTTTACATGTATGAAAAGGGAGCATAAAAATGGTTAAGTACTCATTCAGCTTAGGACTCAAGGGTAAATAGAACTGTTTAAATAAGTCTTGGCCCCCAAATAGGTCCTGCTCGTCAAGGGTGCCAGACAGACAAATCCACTGTCGTGGCAGAGCGTGTAAATGGAGATATGGGCACTGGAGGTTCCTCGCTGGCGTAGGGCTTTGGGTGTGAACGATTCAGAGCAGGGCTGTGTTCACTGAGCCTTTCACAGAGAGACAGGTTTTCTAATATGTGGCTAAAAACCCAGCCTTTGGATCCAGAGGCAAGACAGAGCAGTGATTTAGCAGAGGGATTGAAATGCTTTGAATCCGATGGCGGATATTAAGAAGAGTCATGTGTATACACCCCTCCTATCTGCCATGCTCCTGTGGGGTTTTTTGTGTCATGGTAACACGAGAGTGTTTGCTGGCTGACTTGGGAGTTAACGTTTTTCAGAGAAGGTGGTCAGGCTAAGATGATAAAAAAATGAGGTTTCCTAACAATGATAATAGCACTCTTTCATGACTTTCATTGGACCAGGTGCTCGCCCCAGGCTGCACTTTACAACCACGTGGGAAGCTTGGGAAACTCCGACTGCAGCCGACTTTTCTGTGGGGTGGGACACAGGCATCAGCATTGTTAAACCTCTTGAGTGAGCGCTGTGTGCGTCTGGGGCTGAGAACCACAGCCAGAGAGTGTTCAGTGCTTCACTGGTTACAGAGCTCAGAATTCCAGGTAGCTGAAAAATCTAGAAAACAGCTTAAATAGGACGGTCCATTAATATGTGTTTGTTAGACCAAGAGCAAGGGAGACCATTTAGAGCAATAATTTAAAAATATCTAATACTTTCTTTTAGCTTATCTGTTCTACCATCATTGATACCTGAATTTCCCAAATGTATTTCAATTTCACTTCAGTCAGCTTTTGAATGAAAAATACCTTGGACCAAAAAAAAGGCCAGAAACTCCAATTTGGAGCTGAAACATAACCAGAAAAAGAATTCTGAATTTATTTATTAAAAAAAAGTTTTTTTTAAACCTCATGTGATTTTTAAAAATTAATTAATTAAGTAGTTAATTAAGGCTGTGCCGGGTCTTAGTTGCGGCATGCAGGCTTCTTAGTTGCGACATGAGAACTCTTAGTTGCGGCATGCATGTGGGATCTAGTTCCCCGACCTGGGATCGAACCCGGGCCCCCTGCATTGGGAGCACGGAGTCTTACCCACTGGACCACCAGGGAAGTCCCAAGAATTCTGAGTTTAAAAGTAACTTATTTAAAGTTATTCTTTTTATTTAAGCTGTGAATCATACTTTTCTAAATTTCCTGATTCACAATGGGCCAGTTTTGCACGTGGGCCAGTAGTAGTAACTATAATTATCATTATTGTTCTCATATAGAACATGCGTGTTAGCATCTCTGAGTAGAGTGGTCGGGGTGATACTTAAAATGGCCACGAGAACAGTGTGGTTCTGGGGACCCTCCAGATCCAGGACGGATGTTGGCGGGGCACCTGGGCAGGCTGTTTCCAGTGCTGCCTCCCTGCCAGGTGCTAGCCTGGGAAAGGGTGGGGTTAACCACGCGCAGAGGTAATGAGTTTTCTTGGTTAAATGAAACATGATCCCCTTGCAGCCTGTATGTTCTGAGTTTTGTTTTGTTTTGTTTTTGTGAGATTTATCCACCACCTGAACTGCCAAGAGACTATCGACCAGTGCATTATTTCAGACCTGTGGTGGCTGCAAACTCAGAGAACTCCCACTTACTTCAGGTATTATCAGAGTCAGCTGGAAAGCCAATACATGACCCAGGGACACATAGCAGGCACCAACTGAATGCCTCCAAGCGGGGAGAGTTGCTAGGAGAAACGCCTATTCAAGGTACGTGCCACAGAGAAGATTAAAATCATTACATTTCTAATAATCTGAGTTATCCAAATCAAAATGGAAAGTCATTTTCCCACTGAAATTTTTTACATAATTTTGTATTCCCAAACTGTGGGAATAAAATTGTTTATTGTGAACGGCGTAGTTAGCAGTGTACACATCCTTTACTTGTTGTTTTCCCACCATCAGTTTGAGTTGTGTCATTAAAATTATAAACCCAGTCTTAAGTGCAGCAGTTTTCAGACTTTTGATAATTGTCCCAAGAATGAAGCAAAGACTAGGGCCATGTGTACCTTCACTTTTTCTGCACAGCCTGGGAACGTATTGTTTTCTTCTCAGGGGAAAAGGGTACTGTTGCTCTTTTCCTGAAAGCCTAAAAGGAATGAGTGTGTCTGAAAGGATGGATAGATGTGGAGAATCCCCTGGTGGGCTGGAACCGAGAGACCCGCTATGAGAGGTGGACTTGGACTTGCCGTTTGGGAGCCTACTAGGTGCCTCAGCTACAACAGACCAAAAGGGAACTCTTGGTCGCCTGCTTCCTTCCCCAAAGTCGCTCTTTCTTCAGCTTTCCCCTTCCCTGTAAATGATACCACCAGTGACCCACTGCCTGGCCCAGAGCATGGGAACCCTAATTCATAGCTCCTTTCTTTCCCTGCCTCCCCCTCCCTACCCATTCCCTCAGCAAGTCCTCTCAGCTCTACTCTCAACATGCGAGGGGACCCCATCCACTTCTCTTCGTTTCCGCTGCTTCCACCCTGGTCTCAGCGCCCATATTCTCTCACTTGGATCATTGCAGCAGCCCTTCATTGGTCTCCTTAGTTCCCTTCCCTTTTCTCTGCAGCCTGTTCCCTTTAACAGCAGCCAAATGTATCACTCCCCACCTGCCCCCGCTAAAACGCTCCAGTACTGCTCACACTAAGGAGAAGTCCAGACTGCCCACAGGGCCCTGTGGACCCCACCCTGCCTACCTTTCAGGCCACAGTTTACACCACTTTCCCTGAACCCCCTGTGGTCCAGCCTCACGAGCCTCCCTCCTGCCCCCTGAACCTGCCGACCATGATGCCGCCTCGGGGCCTTCATATTTCCTCTGCCTCTCTTTTCTCTCATATTTCAGCTCTTTTTTTTTTTTTTTTTTTTGGCTGCGCCGTGTGGCTTGTGGGATCTTAGTTCCCCGACCAGGGATTGAATCTGGGTCCTCGGCAGTGAAAGTGCGGAGTCCTGACCACCGGACCGCCAGGGAATTCGTGGCTCCTTCTTTTTACTTAGAACTTACCTCAGATATTATCCTTTTAGAGGGCCTTTCCAGGCTTTCCCTGCCCACTGTTTAAGCTAGTTAGCTCTCCCTCTGCCCCCATGGCCAGCCCTCTCACACAGGTCGCCCTGTTTTTTTCTGCGCACAGTCCTCCTCTCGTGGTGGTCCTCCGCTGTTGCTTCTTGGTTTCTTTAATGTCCATCTCCCTCACTAGTGAGAGCAAGACCTTATCTGTGTTACTCTCCCAGCCCCAGGCCTGGCAGTGGGCGCTCAGTGAGCATTTGTGACACGCGTGAGTGTTCAATGGGTAGCTGTGCTCTGAGCCAGGGCTTGTGCTGGGCAGGACCATGGAGATGGTGGTTGCCACAGACTGGAGGTCCGGAGTCTGGGATGTCAGGTTCCTCATTCTAGGACCACTCACTGGCGTTATAAACATCCAAGCACTAACCTCCACTTTTGCCAACTATAAAATAGGTGTGTCATTATTTTATTACTGTCTAGTTCACAGGGATAGTATGAATACAGATGAAACACTAAATGTAAAATACTCCCCTCCAATTACATAAATTTGTGATATTGAAAATGTATGTAGAGAGATATGTGAGTATAGATGTCTTATGATACTTTTCATCTCTTGCTATTATTGTTTCTTTTTTAGGGGCACCTACTTCAGTGTTAGAATTTCTGTCCGAAAAAGATAAAGAGAGACTCAAAGAAATGAAGCAGGCAACTGACCTTAAAGCAGCTCAACTCAAGGCCAGGAGTCTGGCCCAGAATGCCTCTAGCAGCAGACCCCAGCCCTCCTCTCCAGACGTCGGCCACTGCTCTTGGCACATGGCACTGAGTGGTGGCACAGCCCCCGTAAGAGCCAGCAACTTCAAACCTTTCGCAAAAGATCCAGAAAAGCAAAAACGATATGAAGAGTTTTTAGTAAATGTGAAACAGGGTCAGAAAGGTGGGTGCTAGGCCTGGGCCTCCCACATGTCGCCAGGAGTAGTGTTCTTACTGTTCTGACCCTAGGCCCAGATTCAGAATTGAGGTATCCTGCTCTGGCAGTGTTTTACTTTGCCCTGCTGTGAACACTGTAAAGATTTCAGGCCCTGGCTCTTGACGTGAGAAAGCAAGAACAATCAGTCTGTGTTTCTCTGTATCTCGGGTCCCAAAGATAGCAGTTTAAGTAGAGAGTGTGCCTTGGCAGTGGCTAATGCTAAATTACAGACCATTTACTGTTTGCAAATGCTTGACTTCTGTGTAAGGGTTGCATTTCCTGCCACGAGAACAAGGTCATTTCCCACTCTATCTTAAGATCCTAACCATCTAGCTCTAAATCATAGTCTAAAATTTAACTTACAAAGAGAGTTGGCTGTTGAACCATTACATGGGGAAAAAGTCACTCTATGATCTATGAAGTAAATATGGCAAGATTGAGGCAAGAGGTTGCTCTTTTACGCAGCAGTCCTTGGGAGAGCTTGTCAGCAAATTAGAGGGGTTGGTTTTCAATAGCAGATCTCTGTGTACTGTGCCTTAACTCGCACTACGATTCCACACCCCTAGTGTTTACATGTTAAATTAAAAACAAAAAGTTAGAGGAAGGAGTGTTTTCTGCTCAAACTTAGGAATACAGTTGGGATGCATTTTCACTGTCTGGGACTGGTAACAAGTTCCTTGCTTTGAAAATTTAATCAAGCATTAATCCCCAAATGTTTTTCTCTGCTATATGCAGTAGACAGAATTCAGTAAAAGCATCATTTTGAGGGAGGGAGCAATATTACCTGCCAAGGACCTCCCGCCATGCTCTTAAAAGCCAGGATAATGATTATGTGTTTCCTCTGGTGAAAACTACAGGGATACAGTGGTGCCCACTAGATGTTCTCCTTTAAGTTCCCCATTTTTCCTAGGAGTGAAGCAGTTTCTTGTTCTCTACCCTAGATGCTCTGGAACGTTGTCTTGATCCCAGTATGACAGAGTGGGAGCGACGCCGTGAGCGGGATGAGTTTTCTCAGGCAGCCCTGCTGTATGTGTCTTCCCATTCGACTTTGTCCTCCCGGTTCACTCACGCCAAGATGGAAGACGATTCAGAGCAGGTGGAAGTCCCTCGGGACCAAGAGGTCTGTCGCCATCATTCCCTATGTGGTGAATTTTAAAATTAAAACACTGTATAGCTAAAAACGTTAAATCCCTCAGTGAAAAGACCAAAATACACATGGCACTGTAGAATAAGAAATGGCTTTATGCTTTTAGCTTCCAGTGTACTTTAGCAGAAATGTAGCATAAGCCGTTCTAAAATTTTGGAAGATTGTTTGCAAGCTTGTAAATGGAAAAGCAGACAGGTCAGTTTTGTGGCCACTTGATGAAACAGATGACTGTCTTTTCCCAGAATGACGTCAGTGACAAGCAGTCGGCTGTGAAGATGAAGCTGTTCGGGAAGCTTACCCGAGACACATTTGAGTGGCACCCTGATAAGCTTCTGTGTAAGAGGTTTAATGTCCCTGACCCATATCCAAGGTAAGTTGGATAAACCTGCCCTTACATCAGTACTTATTCCCCTGTATTAAAGCTAACTCTCCACCTACATATTCATTTAAATTTCCTTTTTCTAGATGAACTTACTTGTAAATGCTTGGAGCTGCAGACTTTGCAGATTTAACTTCTATTAATTTGTTACTAAAAAAAAAAAGCAGACATCCAGGTAGCAAAGATAGGAAACTCAGATACACCAAGTTACAGAAACAATGTCTGTCTAATTTGCCACCTTTTTAATCACACACAGAGAGTTTACATTTGAAATGAAACTTATGTTTTCTGATTCTCTATACAAGTTCAGTACCTTCTTATTTGATTATAAACACCACAAGAAAGAATATACAGTTGAATCACAGACTTTGTGAGAAAATTGAGGTATATTTTTAGCAGTGGAACTTTTCCTTCTTGGAAATCCATTGTCAAAGTTAAATTCTAGGGCTTCCCTGATGGCACAGTGGTTAAGAATATGCCTGCCAATGCAGGGTACATGGGTTCAAGCCCTGGCCTGGGAAGATCCCACATACCACAGAGCAACTAAGCCTGTGCGCCACAACTACTGAGCCCGTGAGCCACAACTACGGAAGCCCATGCGGCTAGAGCCCGTGCTCCGCAACAAGAGAAGCCACGACAATGAGAAGCCCGCACACCACAACGAAGAGTAGCCCCCACTCGCCACAACTAGAGAAAGCCCGCGCGCAGCAACAAAGACTCAACGCAGCCAAAAATAAATAAATAAAAAAAAAGTTAAATTCTAGCTCTTACTATAATAATAAAAAACTCATGGCTCCTAAAGTCAGACATTCCAAATTCTAAAATTGCTTTGAGAAGCAAAAACATCTTAAGGGACCTTTTCAACCAAGTAGAAGAGCTACTGGTGAAAAACATGAGATGGACAGCCTTATAGGAATTGGATTTTATCCTCACAGTTGTTATTAAGATTATTTATATATATGTTTCCTTTTCAACCCCCAGTTCAACTTTAGTTGGCTTGCCAAGAGTGAAACGTGACAAATACTCAGTCTTCAACTTTCTGACAGTCCCAGAGACAGCTTCCTCACCTGCAACTCAAGCATCAAGTGAGAAAGTTCCGCAGCACCGAGGTCCCGACAGTGAGTAGGGCTTCCCCAGGTCCATGGTCTCCACCCCTAGTCGGGAAGACAGAAGTAAAGGGTCATCTTGTCATAGGGGTACACGTAGTATGAACTCTCCTTCCATTAAAAGAATCGTTCATATGAATACATTAGCTCGTGCTAAAGTGGTCCAGATATACACTGTTTGGGGTTGGAGCTCTGCTTCAGCATCTGCCACATTCCCAGCACCTTGCACAGCGCCTGGACCATACATAGTAGGCTCGCTGATGTTCTTGAATGAATTAAAGAACCATAATGCAGAGCTTGCCTTTTGCTTGCTAATTCTAATGTTAGGTCTATGTCCTACCTTTCAGAATCAAGAAAACCATCCAGATGGGATACATCTAAACAAGAAAAGAAAGAAGATTCCATTAGTGAATTTTTAAGTTTGGCTAGATCAAAAGTTGGTCCACCTAAACAAGAGTCCAGTCCATTAGCAAACAAAGAGGAAGAGCATACAATGGAATCAGTCTCAAATAAGGTATTTGGGGCTCTCAAGTTCTCTTTGCCAGGCTGACTGTGGCCTTTGCCTTTCTCTGTGGTGATGCTTTTTGTCATTCGATAGCAGTGGTCAGCAGACTTTTGCTGTGAAAGGCCAGATATTAAATATTTTAGGCTTTGTGTGCCATACGGCATCACAACTATTCATCTTTGCTGTTGAGTGTGAAAGAAACCACAGGCAATATGAAAAAAATTGAGTACATCTGTGTTCCAGTACAACTTTATTTACAAAAACAGGCGGTGGGTTGGATTTGGCCCATGGGCAGTAGTTTGCCCACATCTGCTATACAATTCACCAATTTCGGTCATAGCCTTAATCATTTGAGGAGAGGTTATAAACTTCTCTGCCTAGAATGGCTTTCACTTAGCATCAACCGCTGAAACAAAATTCAGTGTATTGTATAGAAAATATGATTTTCCAAGTAACAAGTAATCCCTTTTGTGGAGAGTATAGAGAAATTATCCGTTGGATTCTTTTAAAAAATTACTGCCTAGGGCTTCCCTGGTGGCGCAGTGGTTGAGAGTCTGCCTGCCGATGCAGGGGACGCGGGTTCATGCCCCGGTCCAGGAGGATCCCACATGCCGCGGAGCGGCTGGGCCCGTGAGCCATGGCCACTGAGCCTGCGCGTCCGGAGCCTGTGCTCCGCAATGGGAGAGGCCAAAACGGTGAGAGGCCCGCGTACCAAAAAAAAAAAAAAAAAAGAAAAAAAGAAAAAAAAATTACTGCCTAAATAGTTGAGTTGAACTTAATAAAAAGTTGGTTTTATTTCTAATAGCCTCATTAAAATTATTTTTTAAATTAACATACATTAAACTTGACTTAAAAAAAAAACTGCAGTACAGTGAGTTGTTATACATATGTAGATTCATGGAACCACTACCACAATCAGGAGGCAAAATGATACCATCACCCCAAAAACCTCCCTCATGCTGTCCCTTCATAGTCATACCCTCCCCTCACCCCAAGCCCTGGTCAACCATTGATCTCTCCTCTGTCTCAATAGTTCTGCTCCTTCCAGAGCGTTATCTAAATGAAATCAGATGATATACATATGTAGCCTTTTGAAACTGGCTTCTTTCACTCAGTGTCATACGTTTGAGATTCATCAGTACTGTGTGTGTATCCGTAGTTCCTTCCTTTTTATTGTTTAATGATATTTCACTGTATGGGTACACCACCGCTTGGTCCATTCACTCTTTCAGGACATATGGTTGTTTCCAGTTTTTGGTTATCATAAATAAAGCTGCTGTGAATATTCATGTGGAAATTTGTATATGAACATAAGTTTACACTTCCCTAGGGTAAATACCTAACAGTGGGATTACTGGGTGAGAGCTAAATATAGATGTAACTTTATAAGAAACTATCAAACTTTATTCCCAAGTGCTTGCTTCATGTATTTTGAAACTCTCTTGTTAGGTGCATACACATTTAGGATAGTTATATTTTTTTTGATGAATTGACCCATTCATCATTATGTAATAGTACTCTTTATCCCTGATTATTTGCATAGTATGTATTTCTCCATCTTTTCCCTTTTAATCTATATGATTATATTTAAAGTGGGTTTTTAATAAGCAACATGTCATTGTCATTAGGTGCTTTATTTTTAAATACATTTTGATAATCTGTATGTTTTAATTTTCGTATGTTCTGACCGTTTGTATTTAATGTAACTTGTTGATGTAATTTGGATTTTGGTCTGCAGTTTTGTTTGTTTTCTATTCCCACTCTTTCTTGTTTCTCTCTTTCTCCTTTCCTACCTTCCTTTGCATCACTTCAATAATTTCTAGTTTTCCATTTGAATTTATCTATCATATATTTTTTTACTCTATTTTTGCAGTGGTTGCTCTAGGGATTACAATAAACGTACTTAACCTTTTCATCATGTATTTATGATTGATATTTTACCACTTCAAGTGGAATAGACAATCCTTACCGTCCCTTTACTCTCCCTGCTTTACGTTGTGGTCTTATATGTTACAGTATATATATAATGAAAACCTCATCAGACAATATTTAAATTTTTGCTTTCAGTTGTTATACACATTTTAGAGAACTGCTGAGGAGATAATGGTCTATTTGATTTACTTGGATATTTATCATTTCTGTTCCTGAAGTTCCAGGTTTCCCTCTTTTAAAAAAAATTTTTTTTAATTCTTGGATTTTTTTGGTTGTGCTGCATAGCATGTGGGATCTTAGTTCCCCGATCAGGGATTGAACCCATGCCTCCTGCAGTGCAAGTGTAGAGTCTTAACCACTGGACCACCAGGGAAATCGCAGGTTTCCTTCTCTTATCATTTCCTTCTGTCTAAGGAACTTCCTGTAGCATTTCTTTTACAGCAGTTTCAACAACTAATTCTCTTAATTTTCTTTCATCTGAGAATATCCTGTATTCCATCTTCACTCCTAAAGGATGTTTTTGCTGGATGTAGAATTCTAGGTCAACAGGTCTTTTCTTTTAGCTCTTTAAAAATGTTGTGCCACTTCCTTCTGGCCTTGTAGTTCCTGATGAGAAACCTACAGTCGTTCACATTGTTGTTCCTGTCCTTGTAGTGATGTGACTTTTCCTCTGGCTCCTTTCAAGATTTTCACTTTGTCTTTGGTTTTTAGCTGTTTGGTAGTGATATATCTGGGTGTGTATTTCTTTGAGATTATTTTGTTTGGGGTTTTATGAATTTCTTGAATCTTTAAGTTTGTCTTTGACCAAATTTGGGGCATTTTCAGCCATTATTTTATTCAAATATATTTTCTGCACCACACTCTCGTGCCTCTCCTGAGACTCTGATGACATAAATGTAATACTTTTTGAATTCGTCCTATGGGTCTTTGAGCCTCTGTTCTGTTTTTCACTCTCTTTTTTTTTCCTTTCTGTTGTTTAAATCAGGTAAATTCAATTGATCTGTCTTCAAGTTCACTGAGTCTTTCCTCTGTCATCTCCATTCTGCTATTGAGCCCTGAATTTTTTATTTGGGTTATTGTATTTATATCTTTTATTTCTTTGCTGAGACCTTTTTTTTTATCTTTTCTTCATTTGTCTTTATTCTTGGAGCAGGGTCATAATAGCTGCTTTAAAGTCTGTCTCGTAATTCCAACATTTTTGTCGTTTTGGTTTTTGTCATTTGGGGCTGGTGTTTGCTGATTATCTTCTGCAAGTTGAGATTTCCTTGTTTGTCTGTATACCAAGTAAATTTGGCTTGTACTCTGGATGCTTTGAATATTATGTAATGAGACCCTGGGTCTTGTTTAAATTCTAAGGAGAATGTTGCCTTTTTGTTTTGTTCTTTTATTTTGCTTTAGCAGACAATCGACCTAATTAGGTTCAGGCTACAAGTTCCAACCCATCTGGGTTGAAATGTCCTTCCGTTTTCAAAGCCTTTATAGTACTCTTCAGATCTTTCCTGTATGTGCTCTTCCTGGTGGTTGGTCTGGGACCTGGCTGGTAGTTAATCCCATAGTTCTGTTATCAGAGGCTTTGATTTGCTCATGGAATCAGATCCATGAGCTCAGAGGTGAGCGAGAAGCTCATAAACCACTATATAGGATCACCCTCTTGAGCTCCTCCTCTTCGTGATCTTCCTGACATTTTCTTCTTCTTTTTTTTTTAATAAATTTATTTTATTTATTTATTTTTGGCTGCGTTGGGTCTTCGTTGCTGTGTGCGGGCTTTCTCTAGTTGTGGCGAGCAGGGGCCACTCTTCTTGCGGTGTGTGGGCTTCTTGTTGCGGAGCATGGGCTCCAGGCGCGCGGGCTTCAGTAGTTGTGGCTTGTGGGCTCTAGAGCGCAGGCTCAGTAGTTGTGGTACGCAGGCCCAGTTGCTCCACGGCATGTAGGATCTTCCCAGACCAGGGATTGAACCTGAGTCCCCTGCATTGGCAGGCGGATTCTTAACCACTGCGCCACCAGGGAAGACCCATTCCTTACATTTTCTGACTCTGGGCTCCCCCTTCAAGTCCTCCAGTCAGAAAGCTGGGACTTTAGTTTGCCTGCTCTGCCTTGCACTTCCTGTGACTGTTTCTGCCTGGAGTCAAGTGGCAAGAGGGCAGGAAGGGGAAAACAGCAATAGGATTCACTCCAGACCGTTTGGACCACAGCTCCTGTGGTCAGAGAAAGGGTTCCCCTCCTTCAGAGCCTGGCAGCTGCAGCCACTACCCATGCCACCACGGATTTGGAACCACTCCATTTGGGTTTTAATGGCATAAAACCCTACCCAGGGATTCTGGCTGTATGATATGGTCATTGGATTAGAAAGCCTTCTAGATTTTCTCAAATCATGTTGAGATAGTATTTAGATAATTTTGGCTGGAATGTCTTGGTTCTTGCTTTTTCACTTATTAGCTTGTGACCTTAGGAGGGTCTCTTCCCCTTTCTGGGTTATTTAGTTTCTTTCCCTGAAAGCTTTCTGAGACAGCACAAATGTGAATGTGCACACTTCTGGTGGAAGGTGGGGGGTGGTGAGGGAGCTTTGCAGATACAGTCATGTGTGTTTGGTGTGCGTTGTTATTTAATTTCAGTACAGCTCCTATTATATTCCAAAAAAAATAAAAACAAAAAAGATCAGCTTCTGTAGTTATCTGAGAGTTGAATATCTCATGTACTCTTGTACATTTAATAATGTAGACATTATTAAAGGCCAAGACTGTCTGCAAACACTGTCGTTCAGTTATGGTCCATGCATGTGACATTGGTATCTGTGGTTTGCCATAAAGGTATATGATCCATGACTTTTCTAGGGAATTGTGGCCATGATTTCCTGTGTTTTACTGTCAGCCTCTCTCTCCTGACATTTTCTATAATTTTTAAAATTTTGAAACAATCTTAAAAGTTTAAATACAGCACAGATAATTTTGTTTCCTGAACCACTTGGGTATAAGTTGCCAACCAGATGCCCTGTCACACCTGTGTTTCCTTTAAAGAAGGGCATTCTCTTATATAAGCACAGTACATCTATCGAAATCAGGAAGTTAACATTGATACATTACTACTGTCCAATCCTCAGACCCATTCAAGTTCCACTAGTTGTCCTAATAATGTCCCTTATATCAAAAGAATTTAACTCAGCATCACTTGTTGCATTTAGCTGTCATGTCTCTTTAGTCTCCTTCAGTTTGGAACAGTTCCTCAGTATTCCCTTGACTTTCATGATCTTGATACTTTTCTTTTAAATTTATTTTAAAAGTGAAATTTAATTTTTTTTTTTGGCCAAGCTGTGCGGCATGTGGGATCTTAGTTCCCTGACCAGGGATCGAAACTGTGCCCCCGGCATTGGGAGCGCAGAATTGTGATCTTGTTACTTTTGAAGATTACAGGCCAATATTTTGTAGAATACCCCTCAATTTGGGCTTATCAGGCATTTCCTCAGGATTAGATTCTGGTTCTGCATTTTTGGCAGGAACACCTCAGAAGGGATGCTGCTGTGCTTTCGCTGTGTCCTGCCAAGTAGAACACGATGGTGATTTTTCCCGTTACTGATGTTCACTTTGATTATTCGAGTAAGGTGGTGTCTGCCAGACTTCTCCACTGTGAAGTCAGTCTTTTCCCCTTTGTAGTTAAGTACTTTTATTTATTCATTTCTTATTAATTTGTACTTTAATACACATTTAAGAGCTTTGAAATATATAAATACCCTGTCCTTCATCAAACTATTTATGTCACTGTGGACCCATGGTTTCCTATTTTATCCAGAGGGATAATTCAGTACTATCATTATTTATTTTAATGCTCCAATTGTGCTAGTTTGGTTAGTTGAAGCCCCTTCAGGTTGGCTTCTGTGTCCTGTTGAAGTGTCCCTTTTACCCTCTGAGCATGTCCTCACTTTCTGGGCACAGTAAGATGTTCTGGCCTCATCTTTTTATTTCTCAGCCCCAGCTCTAGAATCAGTCCTTACTCCAAGGTGTCCTCGTTATTTTTAGTGGGCAGTGGTATGCTTTTCTTCCTTAATTTTTTTCTGTGAAAAGGGTTTACTTTAAAATCATAAATTCCACTGTCTTGTGTCGGTTTTCCTCACGTGCATATTTGTAACTCTGCTTCAGAAATTGGAGGTGGTGTGGGACTGGGGAGGGACCCCAGGCCCGAGAGCAAGGAGAGCTGGTGGTGGAGTCCAGACTCACCCTGGGCACGTAGCGTGCGTGTGTCGTTGACAGAGCCTCTTGTCGCCCCTGACCCACGTTCTTCAGTGGTAAAATGGAAGGACTGAAGTGGGTTCTGATCTAGGCCAGTCCTGGGCTCTCTCATCACTGCTGTTCACACTTAGCACGTTAGATCACCCCATGTCTGTCTGGTGATTAGCTGTTAGGACGTGGGAGCCATGTCTTCTTCATACCTTTGCTCCTTGTTTATAGAATGGAGTGTATACCAAGTCACTGCCTCTTTATTGGCTCACCTGACTCTCCATACCTGGGTTGCTTTTAGGAAGGGTGACATGTAATTGCAGAGGGGAGCTCCAGGACCATTTTGTTGGCTTGTTCTCGGTGCCCTCCCCATTGTGTGGAGGCCCCCAGTTTTCTCTTCAGCACTTTTATACGAGTACACTGTCTTCACTACCTTTCATGTGGGACCTCTGAAGGCTCAGATAGACGACTTTTGAAAACAGGACAGAGGCACTGTGCTAGTCCCTACTGCCTTTTTCTGGGTCCTTTGCAATTCTGATTAATGACCTGTTTCCACGTATAGCTTCAGCTGCTTCTACCAGTCAGCACAATCTACAGGTGTTGAATCAGATGCCATGTGAGTGATCATTCTTTAGTTAGGCAGTGCATGGGTGTGGAGACCCATGTAAATGAGCACAAACACAAGTATGTGTGCATATGTGTGCATGCGTGCCTGTGTGTGTGTGCACGGGTGCCATGTTCTTGAACACGTGTCTCCTTTCACCCTTGCTTCTTCATTTCTGACTGTTATTCCACTGTTAATACAGGTAAACAAAGGTGTGGATTCACAGACTGAAGGAGAGGGTAGCCGCCCATCCATGGACTTATTCAAAGCCATCTTTGCTAGCTCCTCAGATGAAAAGTCTTCATCCTCTGAGGATGAGCAGGGCGACAGTGAGGATGATCAGGAGGGTACCAGGGAAGCCGACTTCAGAGGTTCCCAAGAGGCTGATGTGGTGGAAATGTCATCTGTGGCACAAGGTGTGTCAAATATTTTAGACTTTGGGATTTAAAAAGGAAAGCAATGATGTTTCTAGAGAAGCTGCTTTCTTCATTTAGTGTGTAATTTGGAACCAGGATAATCAGCAATTGATGATTTTTTGATGATGTTTTAATCTTTTGTATTTTTTAAGTTAAAAAAAGTTGTATTTAATTATAGTTAATTTACAATATTATATTAGTTTCAGGTGTACAACATACTGATTCAAAATTTTTGTAGATTGTACTCCATTTAAAGTTGTCATAAAATATTGGCTATATTCCCTGTGCTGTATGATATATCTTTGTATGTTATATATTTTATACATAATAGTTTGTATCACTTAATCCCCTACCCCTCGTTTACCCCTCCCGCCTTCCCTCTCCCCACGGGTAACCATGAGTATGTTTTCTATGTCTGTGAGTCTGTTTCTGTTTAGTTATATTCATTCAGTTGTTTTATTTTTTAGATTCCACATGTAAGTGGTAACATACAGTATTTGTCTTTCTTTGCCTGAGTTATTTCACTTAGCATAATACCCTCCCAGGTCCATCCATTTTGTTGCAAATGGCAAAATTTCATTCTTTCTTATGGCTGAGTAGGATTCCATTGTGTATATACACCATATCTTCTTCATCCATTCGTCTGTTGATGGACACTTAGGGAGCTTCCATAGCTTGGCTATTATAAATAATGCTGCTGTGAACATTAGGGTGCATGTATCTTTTCGACTTAGAGTTTTCGGTTTTTTTCTGGAAATATACCCAGGAGTGGAATTGCTGGATCACATGATAGTTCTATTTTTAGTCTTTTGAGGAACCTCTGTACTGTTTTCCACAGTGGCTGCACCAATTTACATTCCCACCAACAATGTACAAGGGTTCTCTTTTCTCTACATCCTCACCAACATTTGTTATTTGTGGTCTGTTTGATGGTAGCCATTCTGACAAGTGTGAGGTGATACCAAAACCAGGATGATGGAAAAAAAAACCCCACAAGATTTATACCAGCAGTTGTCTTTTCATTATGTTGATGGTTTCCTTTGCTGTGCAAAAGCTTTTTAGTTTAATTAGGTCTTATTTGTTTTTTTGGTTTTTTAAAAATATTTATTTAGTTATATATTTATTTATTTGGTTGCACCGGCTCTTAGTTGCGGCAGGCAGCCTCCTTAGTTGCGGCTCCCTGGCTCCGTAGTTGCAGCATGTGGGCTCCTTAGTTGTGGCATGTGAACTTTTAGTTGCAACATGCATGCGGGATCTAGTTCCCCAACCAGATATCAAACCCGGGCCCCCTGCATTGGGAGTGCAGAGTCTTACCCACTGGACCTCCAGGAAGGTCCCTTATTTATTTATTTTTGCTTTTGTTTCCTTGCCTTAGTAGACAGATCCAAAAAAATATTTCTATGATTTATAATCTTTTGTATCTTTAAATGGGGTGGAGCAGAGTTCTTTTTTTTTTCTTTTTTCTCTCTATCTGGTATAAATCTCTGGTATATTTTTAGGATGTAAAGATGTGTTTGAGGAGCTTCCCTGGTGGCACAGTGGTTGAGAGTCTGCCTGCCGATGCAGGGGGCGCGGGTTCGTGCCCTGGTCCGGGAGGATCCCGCGTGCCACGGAGTTGCTGGGCCTGTGAGCCATGGCCGCTGGGCCTGCGTGTCCGGAGCCTGTGCTCCGCAGCGGGAGGGGCCACGGCAGTGAGAGGCCCGCATACTGCAAAAAAAAATTTTTTTTTAAATAAATAAAGATGTGTTTGATAATGTTGATTTTCCTACTTATCCTAGTTGAGGAGAATTAAAAAATAGTAAAATTTTCATTTAAAAAATAGCTTCTTTTTTTTTTTTTAACCTGGTTGCTGATTAGGTGCCAGGATTAGTGGAAAACATTTGGTGATGACATATACAGGGTTTCTTCCTGCTTTCCTCTCTGTAGGGCAGATTGTATGCTCTGGAACAGCCATCAGATGGGCATTGCCTGGCACATAAGTAGCACTTGGTAGATGGTGTCTGTTCTCGTTACTGTGAGTCTAACACCTGGTTAGTAGCCTGTCTACTTGTTCTCTTTACCCCAGCCAGGAGTTTGGGCATAGGAAAGGAGGCTGTCTGGTGCTTGCAAGGGTGGGAGACTTTTCAGATGTTTGGGTGGGTGGACAGAATTTCCCATCTCAGTTTTAGATTGTTCTGCCTGCCCCTTTCAGTCTGTGGTGGACTTGGGTTTAATTTTTGAGGGCCTTTAACCAAAAAGTTACATAGAGATATAAAATATTGTTTGTTCTTAGGTGATTGCAAATGTCAGCCTATTTTTTTCTTTGTGAGAAAAAAACAACATTTTTTTATTACAGAGTCATATATTACTTGAAAAGTTTAAAAATATAGAAATATAGGGACTTCCCTGATGGTCCAGTGGTTAAGAATCTGCCTTCTAATGTAGGGGATGCAGGTTCGATCCCTGGTTGGGGAACTAGGATCCCACGTGCCACGCAGCAACTAAGCCTGTATGCTTCAGCTACTGCGCCTGCACGTCACAACTAGAGACCCCAAGTGGTGCAACTACTGAGCCTGTGTGCTCTGGAGCCTGTGCCACAACTAGAGAGAGGCCCGCACGCCAAAACAGAAGATCCCACACGCCACAACTTAGACCTGACGCAGCCAAAAGAAAAGAAAAGAAATGTAAAAAGCTTAAGTCTCTGGGAATTCCCCCTTCCCAGAGATAACCACCATTAATGCTTTGATGCATATTTTTCCGGACTTTCCCCATCTTTCTCTCTTCTCTCTGAAAACCTAATCATCTCTTTTTAAAAAACGAGATTATTAATGTGAACACGATAATTTGTTTATATTCAGTTTTTCTCCTCTGACGATTTATTTTGAGTGAAATGAAGCCTTCTGAGCTGGGACATAGTCTTACATCCTGTTTTTTAATTAATTAATTTTTGGCTGCCTTGGGTCTTCGTTGCTGCGCGCGGGCTTTCTCTAGTTGCAACGAGCGGGGGCTACTCTTGGTTGTGGTGTGCGGGCTTCTCATTGCGGTGGCTTCTCTTGTTGCTGAGCACGGGTTCTAGGCGCACGGGCTTCACTAGTTGTGGTGCGTGGGCTCAGTAGTCGTGGCTCGCAGGCTCTAGAGCACAGGCTCAGTAGTTGTGACGCACAGGCTTAGTTGCTCCGCGGCATGCGGGATCTTCCCAGACCAGGGCTTGAACCTGTGTCCCCTGCATTGGCAGGCGGATTCTTAACCACTGCACCACCAGCGAAGCCGTACATCCTGTTTATTTGTAAATCTTTATTCTCCTGAGATGGCCCTTCCTTGAGGTTGTGTTTCTACCTTTTATTTATTTATTTCAGTTTTTGCGATATTGTATTTAGTCCTCTTGGCTAGCTTAATCACATTGTTGTTTTTGTTTTTATTTTTTGGCCATGCCACGTGGCATGTGGGATCTTAGTTCCCCGACCAGGGATCGAACCCATGCCCCCTGCACTGGAAGTGCAGGGTCATAACCACTGGACTGCCAGGGAAGTCCTGATGGTGTTTCAACCTTTTAGGTCTCAGGTGATGTGGTGTGTGTGCCACAAGTACCCTCGCCACCCCTGTGGTACAGCCCCTGGGGCACCTGCTTGCAAGTGCCCTTGTGTGACCGACATCCCAACTCAAATGTCCAGGAGGTCAGAGGTTGGGCCTGTGTGTTCACTGCTGTGTCCTCAGCACCTGACGTGAGCTAGTTACATGGGGTGCTGACAAAAAGCACATGCTATCTGGTAAAAACAGACATTAATTGAAGACTCAAGCACATTAATATTTGGCATGTATCTAAAATTAATATCCTGGTGTTTTTCAGCTAGTGAGCCAGCACCCCAGGAGCCCGCACCTTTCTTCCCGATTCAGAAGATACAGATAGATGAAAGAGAAGAGTTTGGCCCGCAGCTGCCTCCCGTCTTCTGCCCCAGTGAGTCGAGAGCTCCTTATGTCATCTGTTTGCATTGGGGCCAGAGTCTCCCCCAAGATAGGACAACTCTAACCACATTGTTCTGTCTGCCAACGTAATCCAGCATGAGGCTGACCAAATATATATGTTTGTTTCTAGTTTATCCGTTCTCAGCCCTGTTTGGAAAATCAGTGCTTCCACCTTGTGCGTAAATGATAGGTGTTGCTTTTCAGCCTTAGAGTCCTTTAATTTTTTTTTTTTAACTTTTTAACAGATAGGGCCCTAAGTATCTCAAATTTTGTCACGTATAGAGATAAAAAAGTAGAAATCTAGGGCACAAAATGGGATAGGAATTGTAGGGAGAAGGATATTCTGAGACTTCTTTATACTTTGGCTAATGCAGCAAATAAAATAAAACTAATCCTTTCAGAAGTAAATACAGCTCATCCTCCTCCCCCAATATCTGTTAACAACTTCTGTTCAGTGCCAGCTTAAACTGACATCTCATGTTAAAATGTTTAGACTGGTTGGCATCTCTTTGAAAGCTGAGTTAACAAACATCTGATAATAGGGCCCAGATATAGAAATGACATAAAATCCTATTATGTACTTTATAGTTTCCTGTAGTGCCCACATATGCATAGTGGCTTGGTTAATTAACCCAGCCTTCAAAGAGATGAAAGCAGAGAGGAGTCAAATGTGTGAAGTTTTGAAAAATTGTGGTGAATATATTTCTCATTTGTGTAATTGTTCAGATCTTTAGTTTAAAATAAGTGTCGGCACTTGAAAGCTAAGTTAGTTATGCCCATTTCCCAGATGGTTCTTGATAACCGTGTAATAGTTGATAACTTAATTTGGTCTATGGGCTATTTTCCAAAAACTAGCATCAAAAAAAAAAAAAAGTTTGGGGAGGTCAACCTGGGAAACATTTGACCAAACTGTAGGACTAGAAAATTGCAGGCATTGGTTAACTGGGTTTGAGAAATAAACCATACTCCTGAAATACCTCGGAATTTTTCTTTAGGTAGAAAAAAGTTGATTTAATGACTTACACTGTTTCTGCTATAGATAATTTTCTGCTGGTTTGATGACCTGGAAGTTAATGACCTATGAAAACGTTTTGGTCAGAATTTGGAGGTGGAGAAGTGGAGTGCATGCAACTTGTTTAGTCTTTTTTTTTTTTTTAATTTAATTTTATTTATTTTTTTATACAGCAGGTTCATATTAGTTATCCATTTAATGCATATTAGTGTATACATGTCAGTCCCAATGTCCCAATTCAACCCACCACCACCACCACCACCCCTGCCACTTTCCCCCCTTGGTGTCCATATGTTTGTTCTCTACATCTATGTCTCTGTTTCTGCCATGTTTACTCATTTTTAATGATCAAGTACATTATTTTGTTTTGGTGCTAATTTTTTAGTGTTTCTGCTTATAAGACAAACTTACATGAAATGTGCTTTTGTAAAGGGTGGACGGTGTCACAGGGGCGGGCAATTATGTGCCAGATTCTGGGCTATGGGATTCATGTGCACGGTCCCATCTAATCCCCTCTGTGTCCCCAAAAGGATAGGGATTCTTATTTTCCCCATTTTTCAGACAGGAAAACAGACTTGGAGAGGTTTAGCGACATGCCAAAGACCACAGACCTGCTGACAGAGCCAGATTCAGACTCTGGTCTATCTCTGAGTTTACCTGAGGATGTTAAATGACAGAAGGCTGGTAGGCATTCTGGTCTGACTTTATCTTCATCTGGCAGATAAGACTGTGGCCAGACACCATTGGATCACTCTGGTCTTAGGTTGAGGTTTCTGGCAGTTTCTAAATATAGATCTGCAACGTGATATGCTAATGTGCTTGTTTATCAGTGAGGCAGGGCAGGAGTTCTGCCTTAATGGTAAACATCTGTCTACGTCAGACTCCTAACTCAGTCATTTAGCCTTCTCTTCCCCTATAGTCTCTAAGTAATGTCTTTATTACATTCGTGTTTCAGATGCTCGTCAGAAACTTGAGGCACCTCTCAAAGAGAAACATAAAAAGAACAAAGAAAAACACAAGACCAAGAAAGAGCACAGACGGAAGAAAGAGAAGGTAACTTCTGGGTGTACCAGGATCAGTGTGTGGGGTCAGACGCCCCTGCTTCTGTCGTCTAGACCAGCCTCCAGGGGTGACCCATGAAGCCAGTCAAGATGGAGGCCACAGGTCTCTCTACACCTTGACAGAAATGTTGATAGTCAATGGAAACCCTCGATTTTCAGAAAAACTTTGTTTTTTTTCTTTTGCTTTGACCACATCGCACGTCATGCGGGATCTTCCCTGACCAGAGATCGAACCCGTGCCCCCTGCCATGAAGCGCGGAGTCTAACCACTGGACCTCCAGGGAAGTCCTGTTTTTCTTTTAGACAGAATATCTTAATTTATTCATTTCTACTTAAAAGTTTTTTTTTATTCATGAACATTAAAAAGTAGGAAAAAAGGACATTTAAATATCTTAGAGTTGAGAATTCCCTGGCGGTCCAGTGGTTAGGACTCGGGGCTTTCACTGTGGGGCCAGGTTCAATCCCTGGTCGGGGGACTAAGATCCCGCAAGTTGCTTGGCCAAAAAAATAAATTAAATATCTTAGAGTAATGGTTGAGTATTAAATAATAGAATAGTTAATTATTGTGTTTAATAAAACAATTGTTTTTAATAAAATATTTAGATAATGAATAAAAACATTTGATATTGATTATCATTCCATATTAAAGGAAGGTATTAGTTTGAACATTTCTCAACTACTTTGTCATCATTACAAATAGAGATTTGGGTCTGTAGCTTGCCATTTGAAGTGATGGACACTTAAAGAACACTGTTGACACTGCTGTCTCAACATCCATGTCTTCTTTTGAGTTATGGCACAGGCTTTTAATTCAGTTAATGTTAGTTAGTGCTGGGTACCCACAGTGATCTGGGTAGTAGTAGAATTGATTAGAAACAGTTCCTCTTTTGGCTACCTGAAAAAAGGATTCTTGGGCATGGAAGGTAAGAGAAGTTCTCCTGGAGTGAAAGGAAAGAAACTGGTGCCGACAGATTTGAAAACCAAACTCACGTGTTTCTCACCGGCTTATGTGCTGTTCTCTGACCTTCTACCAGTTTCTTCTTTGTGCTTTTCCAGGGAGCTTGTCATCCTGATATGTGGTTTGTCACATATGGCTAAAGAAACGGAGCAGGCAGGTTCACGGGCGGGGGCTGGGGGGACGGGGTCACCTTGGATGAGATGGGGGCTGAGTGTCATGATGGGGTCCTGCCTGTGCCTGCTTGGTTCTGCTGTGTCTGTCGCCAGAAGATCAGTTCTGTGAGCATATGCGCGGTGGAGAGCGTGCCCAGTTGTGTGTCCTGGTCTGTCCCACACCAGGCTAAAGCTCCCCCAAGTGAAGTTTTTTGTTTTTGAATATGACTCCAGCAACCAAATGCCTCATTAGCCTGCCAGTGCGTGGGATTAGGAAGGGAAACACCCATTTGTTCTCCTTGATTTATTTATTTATTTCAGAAAAAGAAACACCGGAAGCACAAACACAAAGGCAAGCAAAAGAATAAAAAGTCAGAGAAAAGTAGTAGTTCCGAGAGTACGAACAGCAGTGACAGCCAGAGCGATGAAGAAGGGGCCGCAGACCTGTCACCCCAGGAGCTGCTGAGACGGTAGGTGACAGGAGACAGTAGGCTTTCAGAAACCCTCAGAGGCTCGTTGAAACCTTGCTGTGTTTGCATAGAGGGAAATGTCAGAAATGATAAATTTGTGCTTTAACTCGTTTTTAAAAAGTTAACTTTTAATTGCATAAGTAATACGTAAATATATTATCATTGTGAAAATTCAGATCTTACAGATAAGGCTTGAAGTGGCCCGTGACCAATTCCCCAAATCTCTCTTCTCTCCACAGTAACCTCTGTCATCTGTTGCTTTGTAACTCTGAAGACTTTTTTGCGCAGCCACACACACACACACACACGCACAGAGGTACACGTGCATTTTGTTGCACGTTTTTAATATAAATAATATAACTTTATGTAGCATAAATCTAGAGGGAATGAACATTTAGAAGGAATAAATATCACCAAATTGTTTCCACAAGTGGTTCTATCCATTTAAATTATGAAAGCACCTTGTTATTACATCAGTTACAAACAGCACAGAGATGTTTGCCAGCCTGATGGGTGAAGAATGGCATGTCATCTTCACTGCATTTCCTGAGTCAGTAATGAGGCTGAGCAGCCTTTCCTGTGTGTCTCAGCCTTTGCCATGGGCTCTTTTGTGAATAATGTGCTCCTGTCCTTTGCACAATATTCTGTTTTCTGTTAGATTTTTATACTGGTTTTCAGGTACTGTTTTTACTGATTTTTAGGAATTTAAAAATAATTCTGGATTATTAATCCTTTGTGTTTTAGAGTGTTACCTGTTATATGACTTTTAACAATCTGTGTTGAACAGAAACTTTAGTTTGGGGAACACTCAGTTTTACGAATTTTTGTGTTGTTGTTGGTATGTTTTACATTTTGTCTTTTTAAGGCCTTCCCAAATGTAAGGTTTTGTATACATATATAGACTGTTCTCATGCTCTTGTAGTTTTGTTTTGGTTTAACCTATTTGAATTGTTTTATCTTCCTCTTTTGTGTGTGTGAACAGAGTAGGGTAGGCGTCCAGCGCACCTTCCTCCGGATGGATGGCCGGTTGTCTTAGTGAGAGTGAGTAGGTGAGCTGCGATGAAAAGAAACCCTTTCAACCCACTGGCACGGCACGGTGGAGCATAAGTTAAATTGAGAAAGTTACTCAGGATCCCAGTTTGTTCCGCTCTAGAATGTGGCCCTCAGAGGAGCCGAGGGCAACGGGTTGGAGGATGGTCTTGGAGGTTGTTATGGTCCTGCCTGGAAGTCGCTGTCTTCCCTTCCCCTCCAGCCCCCGGGCCGGAGCAGCTGGGTGGCCCTGCCCGGCCAGCACGGGACCAGGTAGGGCAAATCCAGTTGTGGGCCCAGGGTGATGGGGGACACGGCAGGCGCGAGCCCTGGCCACTCGGCCCCACCGGTGCTCTGGGCTGTTAAGGGAGGTGTAGCTTGATCAGATTCTAAATGCCTGTGCCCATGTGGATTGGTTCCTGGATTCTCTGTTCTGGTTTCTTAGCCATTTTTTTTTTTTTTTTTTTTGCGGTACGCAGGGCTCTCTCTTTTGTGGCCTCTCCCGTTGTGGAGCACAGGCTCCGGACGCGCAGGCCCAGCAGCCATGGCTCACGGGCCCAGCCGCTCCGCGGCATGTGGGATCTTCCCGGACCAGGGCACGAATCCGTGTCCCCTGCATCAGCAGGCGGACTCTCAAGCACTGCGCCACCAGGGAAGCCCCCAGTTTTCTGTTTTTGCATCCGCCCTCTTTTAATTACTCTGGCCTTATAGTATATTTTGCCATCTGGAAAGACAAGTGCCGCTGCCTTGTTCTTTTTCATTTATTTCTTTAGAATGGACAGGACCTTCTCATGGTTCAGAAACAATACGGAGGATATGAGCATTTCAGTTTAATCCAGAGCCCCCTGAAGCGGCTGTGTTGATTCACGTTTCCCTTTCCTCAGGGCGCGTGCCATTGGTGATAGGGACGGGCCAGGCACTGTGAGGCACACCGTGGGTGTGGGCTCGTTTAATCCTCACATAAGGCTGTGACTTGTGTCCCCTCCTCTCACAGGCGGGGAAAGCAAGGCCCAGGGAGGCCCACTGACCCTCACCAACACCTGATATTTTCACCCTTGACCATTTGGGGCCATGTGATGAGTCATTCCTGCGGGGAGGCATTTGCGCTTGCACACGTGGAAGCCCCTCAGTGCCCATCCGGAGGGTGTGGTGGGGTGGGCTAAGCACAGCAGTCAGAAAATGTGGGAAGGTAGCTGTGTGCTGACTTGCGTCTAAAACTTAACCATTTAGAGACCAGAAGCTGCAGAACAGTGTATATGCCTGGTACTGTTGTCAACGGGCCTTTGGATTTTCCCTCATGCACGTGTATGTACATCCTTGCATAGAAAAGGGCTGGAGGGGTTCTTACACCCCTGAGAGCACTTATCTCTGAGGCGGGGGACTGGGATAGAGGGAATGCAGCGTCTGAGGTGTGAAATGTATTTAAATATTACTCTTGTGGTTGCTAAAGGTATAGTTTCCATAGCCCCTCACCCCTAAGCCTCCTGGGTTCTCCCCAGGGAGCCTGGAGGGGGCCCCCTCCATCTTTTGTGCCTCACTCCACTCTGTGTATTACCTGTCTGCATCTGTCTCCTGCAAGGGGCATTTTGAGGGTCACGACCACATGGGTCTTACTTGCATCCCCAGCGCCTGGCTGAGGTCTCACTCTTGTCAAGGGCCCCTGCTGCTTTCCTTCAGTGACGGCACAGCCTAGTTCCGGATGGACTTGCAGTCTGCCCCCTCCATCCCCTCCCCAGGAGACACTGATCTTCCTGCTGTCCCTGTAAGTTAGCTTTGCCCATTCTAGAATTTCACAGACGTGGAAACGTACAGTTAAGCGCACTCTTTAGTGCATTCACACTGTAAGTTCCCAGCTCCCTGCATGTTCACTCCCTGAACATACCTAGAGCAAGGAATAAACCAGCGCTCCAGAAGCCCCTCCCACTTAGCATCCCCACCCCCGCCCCCCAAAGGTAACCACTCTGGCTTCTATCACCGCTGATTACTCTCGCCTGTGTTTCAGATTTATTTAAGGGACCCGTGTACTATGAACTCTTGGCATCTGGCTTGTGAGATTCCTCTGTATTGTAGCAGCAGCTGGTTCGTTCTCATTGCCATAGAGTATTCCTTTATGGGATACACCACAGAGTATTCATCTGTTCCGTTGTTGGGGGCATTTGGTTTTCCACTTTGGGGCTGTAGAGCACGAATCTGGAGTCATTGTGACCCAGCTCTTCTTGATGAGTAGAGCCACCATGAACATTCTTGTGTGCACGAAGCTGAGATTTAAGACTAACGGCTCAGGAGCTTTTGGCCTTGGAGCAAACATGGTTTTGTTTTTCGTTTTTTTAGTTCCTTCCAAAGGTCATACAGGAGATAGGTGTGTGCAACCAGGATTGGAACTTGCTTTTATAAATGGGTCTTAATATGAGATGTGGAGGAGTGAGTCTCTCTGTGTGTCTTGGGGGAAACAGAATCTTAAGAGTGCGGATTAAACGGTACTTTCTTTCATGGTGTGGGTCATCCTCTGTATTTTGTGCCACTTTGGCTCAGGGAGAGGCCTGGCATTCTTCTCCCCTGCTGAACTGTCTGGTTTTTCTGTTTGTATCTAACTTTCCTCCTCTCTCTCTTTTATTTCCTTTTCTAGGCTGAAGCGTCTTCCACTAAGAAGGCAGTAATTGAATTCTGCCCTGGCCTGTCCCAGTACCAGATCTCCTCCAGAATGGAAGTTCATTGGTCACTCAGTTAATAGATTGTACAGATTGTATTTATATGTAAATTTTTGCTGTAAAATAATTTTTTTTTTAAACCTTGACATTTCAAACCTTGCCTTGGAAGGTTGCTGCAATTTCTATTTTTAACTTCTTTTAGTGTCAGAGGAAAAACTCAGACTGTACAGTTTAATTAAAATGGCATTTTTCTATTTTTTTCTTGATTTTTCATTTCCTGAAACTTTAAAAAAGAAATGAAAAGCAAAGGCTTTTCTCTGGTTTTGTTGTGAAGAAAGCCAGGTTCAGATAAGGACAGTCCGACTTACTTAAGGACCCATGTGGGAGGGAGGTGGTCGCTTTCCCATGTTTTCCTGGGGAGTGTGGTTCCTCCCTCATGTGGTTGGTGCTGGTGGCCAGGAGCCAAGTGGGCAGCACAGTACCAGGATCCTGGCAGGTGGCCTCAGCCTCTCGGGGTAGATGCCACCAAAGTGTCTGAGAAAAGCACTGGGACCAAGAGTGGAAGAGTGCGCCCACACCCTGGGTCACACAAGCTCCAGGTCTCTGCACTGCAGCCCTGGGTCCCTGCTCTGAGGCTGCCTCATCTGACCAGATGAGACCTTTAGAAAAAGTAGAGTGCAGAGGTTTTTTTCTATTATCAAAGTAACATCGTAGAAAAATCAGAACAATTGTAAAAGGAGAAAGAAGGAAGAAAATCATTTCTACTTCTACCTGCCAGGGTTGACAACACTTGCTCTTTTGTTATAATTCCATGCAGTCATTTTCTAGCATTGAGTCTGCCCCCGGACAAGACGTGACTTTTTTTTTTTTTTAAGTGTTTTTTTAAAAATTAATTAATCTGGGCTTCCCTGGTGGCGCAGTGGTTGGGAGTCCGCCTGCTGATGCAGGGGACGTGGGTACGTGCCCCGGTCCGGGAAGATCCCGCATGCCGCGGAGCGGCTGGGCCCGTGAGCCATGGCGGCTGGGCCTGCGCGTCCGGAGCCTGTGCTCTGCAGCGGGAGAGGCCACAACAGTGAGAGGCCCGTGTACCGCAAAAAAAGAATAATAATAATTAATCTATTTTGGGCTGTGTTGGGTCTTCGTTGCTGTGCGTGGGCTTTCTCTAGTTGCGGTGAGTGGGGGCTACTCTTCGTTGCCGTGCGCGGGCTTCTCATTGCGGTGGCATCTCTTGTTGTGGAGCACGGGCTCTAGGTGCACGGGCTTCAGTAGTTGTGGCTCGTCAGGCTCTAGAGCTCAGGCTCAGTAGTTGTGGCGCACTGGCTTAATTGCTCCGTGGCATGTGGGATCTTCCAGGACCAGGGATCGAACCTGTGTCCCCGCTTTGGCAGGCGGATTCTAAACCACTGCACCACGAGGGGAGTCCCAAGAGGTGACATTTTGTTCTTTGGTATTTCATTGGCATTATGACAGGTGTTTCCCTCACGTGCTTCTATATTTTGTGTACCTACCCCTAACAGCTACATCTTAATTAATCCTGGGCACATTCTATAATTTATGGACCGTTTCTCTGTTGTTGACGGTGAAGTGGGTTGGCCAGGAGGCCCCTACAAAGGCAGAAGACACAGATCATTCTGGGAGGCGGAGCCAGGAAGACCCTAAGCGAGGCCGCGAGGATGGGGCCGCCGGTTTCACACGCTTGGCCATTTTTCTGTGGCTAACCGTATTGGGCGTTGAGCGGAAGCAGCGAGATCTCCGGGCTCCGGAAGGGCGCGTGGGTCCCAAGGTGGGGGCGCGGGCGCGTGGCGCCACCGTTCGTGGCCAGGCCGGGCTCCGAGATGGCCTCCCAGCCCCCGGGCGCCCCCAGCTCCGCAAAAGCCCTGGACCAGGACGGGAAGACAGCGCTCCGGAGAAGTAACGTGCAGCTGTCCTCGCTCCACATCCGCGACGGTGCGCATCGGCCCCGCAAGCTGCCCTGGGTAGCCCTGGTCAGGGCCTGCGGCCGCTTCAAGCTCTTGCTCTTGGAGGCGCGGCGGGGCCGGCTGCTGTCCTCGCTTAACCCCCTGGCCGTGGGCAATGACTTGCCACCGCTGAAGAAGCACTGGATGCCTGAGAAGGCAGCGTTCTGGGGCGACCAGGAACCCCTCTCCAAGGTCAGAACCGCCCCCAAGGGGAGGGGGTGTGGCTTGTTCCCAACAGGTGCGGAGAGCTCAAGAGCCGGCAAGGGGGCCTGGGAGGGAGCCACCTGGCTTGCTAGGCCTGGGCCCAGCCCCCTGCCCCAGGCACACCTAGGGGGCAGAGTGGCTGCCGGGGGCGGGGGCAGCTGGAGGAGAGGCTGGGTGGCCCAGGGAAACCATCCTGGGGGAGGGGAACCCTACCCAACCCAGACCCCGTGGGCTCCGGCTGCGCTTTCCAAATGTCCCCATGGTGACACTCCCAAGTGCGTGCCCCGGGGTCAGTGAGGGAGCCCTGTCACCCATGAAACAGCACTAGAAGCAACAGAAAACTTAGAAGAATAATAATACAGAAATAAACCCCCAAAACACTACTTAGTATTCTAAATGATATTTGAGAGACAATGCATTGATGAAAGGAAGGCCGGTGGCTGGGAAGAAGAAATAATCTGTGAACAGAGAGAAGTCTTGGGGATGAAAAAGAGGACTTCCAAACGAAGATCCTCCATGGAGGCTTTCAAATCAGAGCAGAGAACTGGAACAGAAAATTAGAAAACAAGCTCATGGGATTCTCTGAGAACTCAGAGAAAAAATATAAAGGAACAATAATTATGAGAGAAAAGAGAAGAGGAAGGCAGGGGAGATGCAGAAGAGCCAGT